AATTTCCTTCTAGTATCCCAAATAACTAGTTTTCTTTGAAATCATTTCTCCTTAGTTTACACATTAAACCCATCAGTGTTCAAAGACCTAAAAATCTGCCCTCTGCTGGCAAAAAACATCAAGAGCACTCATAAAAACCAATCTTGACAAAACATCAAAATAGTCCCACCCTCCAAAACAACACTGACATGCCTCTCATCTTTAACATCAAGAACACCGGAGGCCCTAGTCTCTCCACCATCAGCGATGCAGCCATGGACCCCCAGCTCTGAAAACTCAGAGAAGGGAAGATCCAGCTGGACATGATGTCGCTTGGAACTATTTTCAGGGGACATTAATAACTCCTTTATGCTTAACCTGAGAATTTCATCAGAGGACATCATAGTCCATCCCAGTTCGGCAGACCGACTTGTCTTATTGGAGCCCTCCTCAATTGATCCCCATCATCCTAGGTAGAGGGAATTATAGAGGGGAACATCGGGTCAGCAAATGTATGGGGGAAACCCGGGCCAGAACTATCATCTCACCCAATAGGTTCCCACTCTCAAGCAATCTGGATATTCTGGTAGCCAACCCCTAAACATTTGCATGCTGCTGGTCTATGCCAGGTTGGTCAATGGGAAATTGGTGATCATTAAATAACAGATTGTGGACAACCGAGTCAACCTGGCATGTGTCACTGAAACCTGGTTAGATGAAGTTGGTGGGGTTAATCTCACCTGGCTCTGCCTCCCCCCCCCCCAAGTTTCATGGCCCAGCAGTGTGCAAGGCAAGAGGGTTGGGGAGGTGGAGTCAAAGTGATCTATCGAAGTAACATTCACCTAACCTCTGCCCCAAGTGGAAGATCTTGAATGTGTCTTCCTTAGAGGGGGTTGCTGGAACAGATTAGGGATCCTGTTGGTTTACTGGCCACCTTGTTACCCAACAGCCTCCCTACCTGAGCTAACGAGGTTGATCTTGGGGTTGGTGCTGGAGTACCCCAGACTGGTTGTGCTGGAGGACTTCAATATCCACACCGAGAGCTCCCTGGATGGCGTAGCTCAAGATTTCATGGCCACCATGACTACCATGGGGCTGTCCCAAATGATATCTGGCCCCACTCAGCAGGCCACATTCTCGAGCTTCTTTTTACTACAAGCAACAGGGAGTGACATGATCTGAGGGTGGAGGAACTAGACATAGTCCCTGTGTCATGGTCAGATGATTTCTTAGTCAGGTTTAGACTTACCAGGGCTCCCATTCTCCACAGAGTTGGTGGGCCTTTTAAGATGAGCCACCTCAGGATACTTATGGATCTGGATGGATTCCTGATTTCTCTTGGGGAATTTCCGGTCACCAGGAAAGGTGACTCTATTGATGCCCTAGCCGAGCTCTGGAATATGAAGGTGGCTAGGGCTACCAATATGGTTGCCCTAAAGCTAAACTGGCTCTTTTTTTACTGGTGAGCTTCTAGCAATGAATCAAGAGGGGAGGAGATTAGAGCGCGAGTGGTGGAAAACTCAGAATGAGCCCAATTTGAAGAAAATTAATGACCGTTACAGAATTTTGGATTGGTAAAAGAGGCTGGAAAAAAAATCGTCATATTCCAACTCAATGGCCACAGCAAAAAATAGCCCCACAATTATTCAGAGTAGTCTGAAGTCAGATAAAACCTAATACAGACAATCCACCATTCCACTCAGTTGCTCACTGTGAAGACTTGCATAATTTTTCACCACCAAAATCAGTCAAATTTGCTCTGAGTTACACACCACAGTTGCTACAGCTTTTCTGAATGTAACAAAATCAACCCTTTATCTGAACATGTTCGAAAACTATAGACTGGTATCAAATTTGCCATTTATTAGCAAAATTCTGGAAGTGGGGTGGCCAGGCAAATTAAGTGGTTCTTGGATTAAGCGGATTTTCTTGACCCATTTCATTCTGGCTTCAAGCTGGGTCATGGAACAGAAATGGCTTTGGTTGCCTTGGTGGATGATCTACATGGAGACCTGGATAAAGGGGAGTGTGACCTATTTGGTTCTCCTGGACTTTTCAGTGGCTTTCAATAACATTGACCGTTGTATCCTTCTAGAGTGTCTAACAGGTATGGGTCTGAGAGGCACTGTTTTGCAGTGGTTCCAGTCCTTTCTAATGGGTTGCAACCAGAAGGTGGTATTGGGGGAGTCCTTCAACCCCATAGCAATTAGTCTGTGGGGTCCCACAGGACTCATCATTTTCCACAATGTTATTTAATATCTACATGAAACTGCTGGGAGAGATCATCCGGAGTTTTGGAGTTTGGTATCATCTGCTATTCTCTACTATTCCTTTCCACTAGAAATTCCCAAGGAAGCTGTGCTGCACCTGAACCAGTTCATGGAGGCAGTAATGGGCTGGATGAGGGTGAACAAATTGAAACTGAATCCAGATAAGATGGAAGTACTACTGGTCTCATGTAATGGTTCAGAAATCCAATTTGGTCAAAGATCAGCAGCTAGTTTGTTGTTTGGAGCAAACAGAGAGAACACGCCACTTCGCTCCTTAAACAGCTGCACTGGCTCCCTGTTAGTTTCCAGGCCCAATTCAAAGTGCTGGTGTTGATCTTTAAAGCCCTACATGGCATTGGTCCAGATTAACTGAGAGACAGGGTTCCTTGATATACCCCAGGGAGATCTCTTAGGTCAAGTGGAGAATTGTTAATATCCTCTAACATCCAAGACACTCTACATCTGAAGAGTGCTAGAGAGAGGTCCTTTTCAGGAGTGGCTCTCTCCCTCTGGAATGCCCTGCCAGATGATATTAGAGTTGTATCCTCTCTACTAACATTTAGAAAAAGCCTTAAAACCTTCCTGTTCAAGGAACCTTTTGGGGGATCATAATTCAACTAAATGACTAGGAAGCCCTATCCGTATGTATGTTTCATACGATTGGGTTAGTATAATTTATTTTATTGAACTTTATTAGAGTTTACAGCATGTCTCATATTTATGGTTTTAACTTGGTTTTAACTTGAATATTGTATGTTTTATTGGCTGCAAGCCGCTTTGGGCCCTTGAGTGGGGAAAGGCGGGATATAAATTTATTAAATAAATAAATAAATAAATGCATGTGAAGTGATACTGCTTCTTGTTTTGGCTGAAACTTGGTCACTTAAGTGATATTTCAGGAAGTTACAGGGGGCAGTAGAGGCAATTTGACATTTATGGCTAATTTGGTGCTTCTCTTAGAAGTCTTGGGGGACTGGAATGAGCAGAGATTATGAGGATTTACATAGCCCAAGGCCACCCTTTCCCAGCCTTGGTCTATATCCTTTGAATCTCATTTCCTTTCATTCTGGGATGGAAACAGAGCATATGTTCCTTTCGGGGGGCTTTCTGTCTTAGACAACCTTCAATCAGCTTTCCTTTTGACAAATGCCACTACTGGATAATCTGAATTAGGGATATGCATAAGAAAGTCTCCATATCAGAAAGGAAGATTACTTGATAATACCATAATGGGAATGAGTGCCAATGTCTGGCCATGGCAATCATTTTAGCCCACCAGTTTGGGAAGGAATTGTTGGATTAGGGAGGTTCTCCAGATTGCATTTTATTGGTGTGTGATTACTAAGGATCCAAAGAAAGTTGACACCGAAAATAGCATTAGAACTGTGTGTTTGGAAATACAAATGTATGTGGTTCAATGAGGGATACACCTATTAAATTATATTAAATCTTATGGGAAAAGGTTGCGCTCTTGTATTCTATTCTGAAATGGTCAAGAAACAAAACTTCAACAGTCTCTTTTCTTAATAAAAGCAAAAATTAACAGCTTGGCATACTGTTTGAGGAAACAGATGTACAAAAGAGCAAGGTATCGCAATGGTCTTAGAAATGTGTTTGGGAATTATGTCTGTCATGTATTGGCTCTTTATATAGGACATTAATCTTAACAATTAAACTGACAGGTTTTGAGAAAAGAAATCTGCAGTACTGCACTTTAACTCATTTTCTGACAACCATGCTCATGTTCTTTAAAAATGCAATTACTGTTAGCACGAAGAGGTTCATGTAATCAAAACAGACATGGCTTTTCTTGTTGAATTAGTTGTTTATCTTGAGCCATGTCGCTCTACAGCAGTGGTTCCCAACCTGTGGTTTGTTGACCACCGGTGGTCTGCAAGAACTAAAATATGGTCTGCTGCCTCACCGTTACTACACCGTTGCAACGAGAGTGACTGGTCTTGTGAGGCTTATTAAATATGGTTTTCTGTGGGTGAACAGATGGCAAGTACTGTATGGTAAATGCTCTGTGTCAGAAACTAGAGCTGATGTAGTCTATCCAATGCAATTTTCTGAATCAGCACCCCAAATAACCAAACCAAATCTAAAGTTGACAAAAAACTGATTTGTAACCCTTTTAGTACTAATGTTGGAGACTGGTCCCTGGTCAAAATGGTCCCTGTTCAAAGTGGTCCCAGGTCAAGTAGTCCTTGGTCAAAAAAAAAAAAGGTTGGGAACCACTGCTCTACAGCCTTCTTCGGAGTAACCATTCAGACTAAAATGATTTAAGACCAGGGTGAGGAACCTTCACCCACCATACTTCCTCTATACATACCTTACTTTCTTAGGAAAAAGATCTGCCTCATAGCTTCAAAATATCTGGAAATGTTCACAACTATCACCTTGGAACTTACGCAGGATGAAACACTCCTCTAGCTGAGCTGCACTTTTGTATGCTTGTTTCAAACTGGCAGAGTAATAACTGGCCACATTACTTTTGCCTTGCTTTGTACACATAATCCCTCCCATTTCTGAAATGAAGCCACTTATTCACCCAAAAGAACCATTCCTAACTGGAAATCTTTCAGCTTTGGGCAAAAAAATAACCCTGTTGTTGTCATGCCTGTCTCCCCAACCCTCAAAAAAGCAAAACAAAACAAAAACATAAATTTATAGTTTCTTCCATAAACACTTGTGGGTGTAAGTGAACTTGAACATTAGTTTACATGGGACACTTTTTTCATACCTGTGCAGGCTGAAGTGGAGGCCCAGCTGGCAAGAGAGCGTGAAGAAGCTAGTCAACAACAAGCCGTTTTGGAGCAAGAACGCAGAGATCATGAGCTGGCCATGAGAATTGCCCAGAGCGAATCGGAACTCATCACTGATGAATCTCAGCTCGATCCAGGATTGCGCAGGTACTGCACCTTGTTGGTTTTGTTCTTTCAAAAATATATTTACATTCACAGAGAATGGAATATACATACTTAAAAAAACCTGTTATTAGTTTTTTTAAAAGTAAATTCATCAATCTTCTCTCTACATATGGACATCTGTAATCTATGTGCTGTGCTGTTGCACATACTGTCTCTACTGGTCCTTTGCACTTCCTACCAGTGATGAAACTGGGAAGTGGGCATGCTACATTGACAGAGTGAAGGAAGGACTTGCAGTTAGTGGCTTCCAAGTCACTGGGGCAGTGAATCCATCCTGGCTTTTAGCAGTTTTCAGTTGCTCAACCTCTTTTGGAGAAAGGATAGTTTGCACTGAAACCTGGATTTACTGTCCCATTGACTAAGGTCCCTTCCAGACAGGCCCTATATTCCAGGATTTCATCCCAGCTTTTGTGCTTTAAACTAGATTATATGGTCTGAGAAAGTGTGTACCCCCTAGGCATTTTCTAGGTTTTTTAAGCACATTTCTGTGGTATTTTTCTGGCAGAAGTTGATCATTGAGTCATGTTCAAAGTTTAGGGATGCCTATAAAGCTGCCCTCTCAGGTCCTCAGCACAATCCTGGGAGTCATTCATTCAATAGGATTTTGTTCTTATCTGTAATTTTTGCTATTTGGGATATGTCCAAAACATTTTCTCTGCCAATACAGAGATCATATTGTACATGTAGAACTCCAGTAATGCCTTGCTCCATAGATCCAAATACAGGACACTTTTTAACATTTAAGATAAGCTTTCACTTTTGAGTTTCAGTTCCCAAAAAGAATAACAGCTCTGAAAATAACTCGAGCCAAAAAAAACCAAAGGCTAGTCTAATCCAACTTTTTGTTCACACACTAGCTCACCAGTAGTTTTTAGAAAATTCCACCACCAAGAACATAGTTTTACCCTCTGTTTAATGCTTCTCAACAACAGAGTGACATATTGTGTCTCACACTGGAAGTGATGTAAGATAACCACCTTGACTATTAGCATCTGCAGTGGTTCCCAACCTTTGGACCTCCAGGTGTTTTGGACTTCAGCTCCCACAAATCCTAACAGCTGGTAAAATGGCTGGGATTTCTGAGAGTTGAAGTCCAAAACATCTGATAAAGAATGCTACCTGGGCTGACCTATAGTATTGTAAAGATGGCCTTGGAAAACGAACGATCATAGAAGGGTGTGGATATAGTTGTTTTTTGGAAGGGCATGTACATACACAAGACCTACCTCTGCTACATCTACTAAGCAGTTTAGACAGTGACACCTTTGATGTTTTCCCGCTCTTGTTCTGAATACATTCCATGATGCAGTTGTGAGAATAGTCAGTGCCTAGGTGAGAGTTTGTCATGCTGTCCTCAAGTCAAAATGATGTAGTGTTATGAGAGTTGGATTAGGACATTGGGAGTTCTTTATTATTGTTCTACAGCATCGTAATTTATTGATGTCACACCTTAATTGTACATTACACTTTACAAGTAGAAGACTAAGCAAAAAGCCCTTAGGCTAACAATCTTATTAAGACATGACACAAAAGGCGAAGGGGACGACAGTCTGGGAAGGGATTAAGTCCAGCAGATGCTGCCTCCTCTTCTCTCCCTCCGAAGCCAGGGCAGTGGCAGTTGGAATGGATTTTGGAATTTGCCTAGGATGAAGAGCTCTGCCAAATGTAGGCTCTTGGGAAATTTGCCAGCAGCAACAGGTGCTTTTCATAAAATTGGCTTTCAAGGGTAAGAAATTTGTATTTGTGGCACATTTTTGGGGGTGGGTGTATTTCTCCAGCCTCAACAATCGATACATGGTGCTCTTGGGAATTGTTTGAAAGTACTTAGCTCATTAGGCCATACTTTAAAAAGGCCTGGCAGTTATTCAGCATTTTGATTCTCTCCTTGTACTTTTTATATGTTGGACAAAGTGTACAAAATACGTTTGCTGTTCATGACTATTGTAAGCGTGAATGATGAAATAATTCCAAAAGCTTTGAATGGAATCGCATGTGAAAGGAAGGCCATCAGGTAGACATAGTTAAAAACAGAAGCTTAGTAAGAAGCTACCAATTAATGTACCCATATAAAATTAATTTAGCTGGCACTTTTAAGCAAAATTTAGGTAACTTACTTGTTTCTCTATTCTTTCTCGACTGGATTCTTAAGAGCAGCAAAAAACACATGGTTGTGCTCTCTGACTATGAATTATCTTGTGGGATGTTGAGTAGATAAAATGGGAAGAGAAGAAGAAACTTCCCGATGAATGATGGGATTGAAATATAATGTGTAAATAAATGGAAACCAGACTTCTGCAAACCTGGATAAAACTAAGTACTCTTTTATGCAATGTTGCAGATTGGTACAAAACTACTTAGGAAACTGCTAGACTAACGTAAATGTCTTCTGTTTGCAGACCCAATGGAGCAAGCTGTCAAATGACTGCGTATGACTTTTTTTTCCTTTGGGGCATTCCATAGAAATTGTGGGTTTAAAAAATTAGAATAATTTTCACATGATAAGCTTTCCATTTACCCTCAAATACACATAATTTGAGCATGCAATCAATATATCCTATTTGACTGTCAATCTTTCAAGCTGCTTACATGCAGGTACAATTTGTTGTAATCCGAATGTCACATAGGAATGGGATCTGGAACGAGGAGGGTGTTTAATTCAAAGCATATTCTGATACCTACCAAGCAATCAAACATGATTTTTTCTTTACCGGGATTAAATACAGCATACATTTTAGGGCACGATACCTGTCTGCTGAACCAGTATGAGATTTTATGCATTTATTAACATTACCATATTAGGACTGCTTTTAAATATTGTACCATGTTACCCCTTCTCATATGCACTCGCTTCTTTTATAGGGAGCAAATGGCTACAGAAATGACAGAACTTTTGTCTAGGTGGGTGTAACAAGAAGCCAAAAGTAAATCAATTTAATCACCACCTGAAAGAATCATGAGCTAAATTAAAAGGCAATTCAATTCATTTGGAATGTTTTCAGAACATGAATAAATAATTTCTAATCAAGATTCAATCATTGCATCAATATAATACCAATTTGCAACTAGATTATTTCTTTTTCTAATAATTTCATATTTTTATATTAGTTGCATGAAGAGTTGTTAATTTCCAGTAAAGTTCTACAAGATTATGAATTTAAATTATTTCAATAGATTTCCCCCTCTCCCAATTAAATAAACCTCCGTATTTTATGTTGTCATTATGATGGTTATTATTATTAAACGTTATTCCTCACGTTTCACTTTCTCCCCAAAAGTAAGAATTAAGGTGGCTTTGGGTATCATACATTTTGAGAGGAAGACTCTATAGCTGTCTTTTGGATATTACATTTATGTATGTAGCAATTGAAAATTAGTTAAATTTTAAATCCTCACAGATCTGTCTTAAATAATAATGAAATTGGAGGCTTGCTTTGTTGACAGCATCTTTTAACTACTATTAGCTGGAAGGCTGATAGACAGATACCGTATATTCAGTAATGTTGGTGTTTAGTATTCCTTTCTAGGAACTTGAAGGGTTCTTTTGAGCAGCTAATTAAAAACTGTTATTTTGACAACCAGAACAGATGTACTCTTGTAGCCTGAAGCTAAAGTAAAACATAGCCTTCTTCTGATTTTTTAAAAAAGCATATTGCCAAATGAGGGAATAACTGATGTTAAGTCATTTATATGTGGTGTAAACATAATTCTTAATACTTAAATCCTTCATCCACCCAGCCCATTAGAATTATTTCTTCATGAAATACAAAGGCAAGACTTAAATTTCACTTTATGACCAGGGTTCAACAAATTGCCAACTGTTCCTTTTGCCTGTAGGTGATACTGGGGAGGTTAGGGCTTTAGATACAATTTTCTTGAATAGCACAATACCAAGGAACATAGCTGTTGGGGAGAAGACAAAATGAGGACATTGCAAAATGGAAAATCTTTCTTCTGTCCACAGATTTGTAGTGCAATAATGAATGAGAAATGGACAATCTTTCGCATCTTGAACTCATATATTAACTGTGTAATACTAGAAATTTGGAGAATGAAGAAAAAATTGATGGGGAGCAGGTTTGTTATTTTGGAGAGCAGCAGTTAAGATACTTCAGCGTATTCACCAGTTGCTTTCACACATTTTATTTTAGTCATATGCTGTATATACTCAGGTATAAGTCAAGGGCAAGTTTTAGGGCCAAAATGATGGATTTTGATGTGATTCCTGGATAAGCAAAGGGTCATTCCATGGAGAGAGGGAAGCACAAGTGTCACCTCAAGGACCCATCTGCTTCTGGTTGCTGCAACTGCCACCATTTCTTTCCAGACATTAAAAAAGGCCAGAAGCAGCATTATGGAAGAGCGAATAGAGGGAGTCAGCACTTCTTTTAGGTGCCCCTGGGATGGACTAAGCCAGAGTTTTTCAAACTGTGCTCCTCCAGATGTTTTGGACTTCAGCTCCCATAATTACTAACATCTGGTAAGCCTGCTGTGATTTCTGGGAGCTGAAGTCCAAAACACCAGGAGTATCACAGTTAGAGAAACACTGGACCAGTGTTTCTCAACCTGTGGGTCCCCAGGTATTTTGGCCTACAACTCCCAGAAATCTCAGCCAGTTTACCAGCTTTTAGGATTTCTGGGAGTTGAAGGCCAAAACATCTGGGGACCCAGAGGTTAAGAACTACTGCACTGGACTAAGTGCTTGCCTTTCACCCCTCTACTCAGAGAGGGAATGTTGTTTTGATAAGACTCACATTGAACTTGGGATAAGTCAGCCCAGTTTTTTGAGGTTGATTATTTTACTAAAATTTGTAGACTTATACATGAGTATATACTGTATATATTATATACTATGTACAACCTAGTATTGCTCTTGGATTTCTCCCTGAATTTCTTGCTCTCTAAACAAAAAGGCCAGTAGTCTTTGTTTTGATTAGGCACTTTGTACCTTTAAAGACATATTTTCAAAAAATAAGATTGTGATCTTAGTGGAAACCTCATATGAAATGTAACCTATACAATTGGATTACTATTCCTAAAGATTACTCCTTTTGCCCTTTTACTCCTTTTGTACTTACTTCTGTTGATCTGAGGGATACTTAGGTTGACTGGTAGTACAGCTAAATAAGGAAAATCCTCAGGATTTGTCACATTAATTGTTCAAGAAGCTTAGCCATTATAGTGAGGAAATTAGATTTAACAAGCTCCCATTAGAATTTAACAGGTACTGTGCCAGCAATTTGAAAATTAACCTCTACATTTCATTGTGCCCTTTCATGAGAGATTACATTCACTTGCTCTTTCTAGTTATAAGGGCAATAAAGACTAAAAATTTATTTGAATTTCAAGTTGGTTAAATAGTGATTGGGGAATACATTTGTCCTGTCAACTGTACCTTTGTGGCATGGTCTAATGTAATGGCTGCAATAAAAAGGCTATTGATTTTCAGCATGCCACATTTGAGATTGCATTAACTGCAAAGAATAAAATCCAATGTTTATATTTTAGTATTGAAAATTGATTTCCTGTTGGCAAAGATAGTGGGATCAATATTGCCAGCTTTATTCTGATCACTAGATAATGCTTTCAATTAATTTTGTCTAGTACTAACAATGTTCTAACCAGGAGTAGTTTTTTTTAAAGGAAGAGTTGAATATTATATTATATACCACTTATAACAGATTAAAACAGTTCTTTTACCAATAATCATATTTGTGAAGAAAAAGCAAATTGAGGTTTGGGAAAAAGAGATTTTTAAATGGTGTCGATGATTCAAGTAGAATGTGCCTTTTTCAAAAAAAGAAAGTTGAAATACCTTCTATCTGTATGGGGAACTGTACATTATAGCTGCAGGAAAATATTATGATATGCTCTCTCAAAATAGTGAATTCAGTTTTAAACAAGATGTAACCTGTCCCCAGTTACCTTTTAAAATGTTTTTGTTTAAAAAGTCACTTTCTCTTCCATTTTTAATATCCTTTTTCATTTGGGAGGTTCTATCGAGTGGGTCCTGGAAGTGGATAGTGAGTCGAGAAGGAATGCAAAGAGGAGTATTGTAGGCATTGAATATTTGCCTTTTTGTGATTGGAATCCACCCTGAGTCCCTTCAGAGAGATAGGGCGAAGTATAAATAAAGTATTATTATTATTATTATTATTATTATTATTATTATTATTATTATTATTGAGCAGTGAAGTGATACTTCAACTAGATTTTCTTTTAAATAGTAGTTCTTATCACCATATTTTCTTTCTCACAATGCTTAGCTAACACAAACTTTCCACATGCTGCCCTCCTGCTTGAACAATGACCTTGCAATCCTTTTTAAATTTTGTGATGGACTGACTTTGCTGCTTTTACTGTGCAGTGGATCATTCCTCTGGAGCCATATGCTGTTCAGAGCAATTGAACAATGAGGCCCTTGGCAAGGCATGCTTTTGTAGTTGCCGTTTCTCTCCTTCTCACAACAGAACTGGGAAATATACATTGGAAAAAAGGAGTAAAATTATCCAGTTCTTAGAACCAAAACATGCTGTGATTAAATATTTAATTGTCAGTTAATTTATAAATAGGAGCCCCCGGTGGCGCAGTGGGTTAAAGCACTGAGCTGCTGAACTTGTTGACTGAAAGGTCGCAGGTTCGAATCCGGGGAGCGGCATGGGCTCCCACTGTCAGCCCAGCTTCTGCCAACCTAGCAGTTCAAAAACATGCCAATGTGAGTAGATCAATAGGTACCACTCTGGCGGGAAGGTAATGACCTTGGAGGTGTCTATGGACAACGCCGGCTCTTCGGCTTAGAAATGGAGATGAGCACCACACCCCAGAGTCAGGCATGACTGGACTTAATGTTGGGATAACCTTTACCTTTACCTTAATTTATAAATTCTATTGTTTGTTTTTAAAAGCAAAGTTTAAAGCTCTACATTGTAGAGTTTACACTCAATGATGGCACTTGGGAGGGAAATACTATAAGATATGGGTGGATATTGGGTTAGGGTTGGGAACTGCTTGATAAATGGCTCTAGGTTCCAGAACTGCAGACATTACGGAACATTGGCTAAGAATGTGAAAATCCCTGCCTCTGTTTTGTCCAGTCCTACTGCATTTTCTTCCCTTCTTCTTGGATATTGGGTTACAAACCCTCGTTTTTAATTCTAGCACTGAAATTCATACACACACACACACCACTGTTGTTCCCAATTAATGCAATTATTTGCACAGTGCAATTAATGTATTCATAATTTCCCTATTGACAAAAGGGGCTTGTTTGTATGTTGCTATTTTTTACCTGCTATTCGTATTTCTGATTTCCCCTCTATGCACTATATTTTGTGGAAGTGTACTGTAAGCTGAGAAGATTCAGGATATTCAGGATAAGCGGTACTCTTCTTGCTCAATAAATCTCAGGTGTGAAAATGCTGCTGCCACCAATACTATCAAGTCTAACTCAATTTATTTCAATCCCTAATCTAGGCAGGGTCAAAAGGGGTGGATATTCAGAAACAGTAGAAAGAAAGAAGGAAGTAGGAATAAAAAGAAAGCCTGAAGGATTAGAAAAGGAAATAGAGAGAAGTAGAATGTTAACTTTGAGCTGAGCAAAAAGTTGGGAAAGCCTTTAGGGGGCCGGGGAGATGAGATAATGAAAGCGGTGGGGCTTCGAGGAGTTAGAAGTGAGGCTATGGAGGCAGATGCATTTGCATCAGGAATGTGACTCATTTCTGTTGCAACTCTTAGCCTTGAAAATGTGTAGCCATCCTTGAACATTCTGGGATACAATGATGGAAATAGCTTTCCTTTTCTGATTGGTATTCCCTTTTTCTTTTTCTTCAGAAAACTAAAAGTTCTCATCAGTGATTATATAATACCTTTTCATTAAAGGGTAGTTATCTTTCATGTATGCTCTGTACAAAACATCTGTATTTGACAAACTCATGGAGCCATGAGAAGTTATTCTTAGTGATCATATTCTGTTGATTGTGAAGGGTGCACTTGTGTAAAATATGAGGTACACCCCTCTCTTTAAAACTCGAAATCACGCCGGAGCCAGGAAACCTTGGGTCAGCACAATTCCTTCATTTAAAGCAATGGTTCACAACCTTTTTTTGACCAGGGACCATTTGACCAGGGACTACTCTTCAACTTTAGTACAAAAAGCGTTACAAATCAGTTTTTGGTAAACTTTAGATTCGGTTTGGAGTGCTGATTTAGAAAATGGCATTGGATAGACCACATCAGCTCTAGTTTCTAATACAGAAAATGTGCCATGGTCAGCGACAGGAAAGGAGTGGCAGGTGGCGCAAAAAGAGCAAAAATAAAATAAATAAAATAAAATAAAGAGGAAGATGGCTTGTGGACCAGATTTTTGTCCTCACAAGCCCACTGGTGGTCCGTGGCCCACAGGTTAAGAACCTCTGATTTAAAGCAACACACCACTAAATGTGCATATCCTGACAGAGTGTATTCCAGTTTTCATGCCTGAGTACTAAAACTGAAACAAACATTGATGTGACATGAAAATATGTTGGATTGCCAAAGCAGATCTGTGTTTGCTGTGCTTCAAGCTGTCTACTAGAGGCGAAAGAGCATTGTTTTATTCTTTGACAAGAATGTGTAATACGTTGCCATCACAATGTCTTTGGATACAATCAAACTGATTTGAAGAAACAAAAACACAGCTCTGTCAAAAGTGTTTCCAGTCAGTTTTCGTTAATGCAAGCACAAGGAGCACTTTCCACTCCCGTTGTTTTGGGCGCACTCCTTATTTTTATTGAGCATGCTGGTTTTGACCTCTGAGAGCGGAAGTCCAAAATATCTGCGGTGTCTAAAATATCTTCAGCATCCTTCATTCAGGAGCTCACAAATGTCACTCTTGATTAAAGAAATACTTTTATCTGCCTTTTTTTTTTTTTAGAGCTGTACCATTATGTCCATTTCTCTCTATTTCTTTGGTGTCTGCCTTATGGTGGTGTGCCTATCTACTTTTGTTTTTAGAACCTTTTGTCTTCTAATTTGCTGACTTCACTTGGTGCTGTCTTTCCTGTTACTATAACTTTTAATGAACATTTATAGGGGACCTTCAGTTCAAGCCACCAAAGCTGCCGCTGGCACTAAAAAACATGACCTTAGCAAGTGGAAATATGCCGAGCTACGTGACACAATCAATACCTCTTGTGGTAAGTAACTGTTCCCTTCAGGGTGAGAAGAATTAGATCATATAGTAGTAGCACTTTTGATTCATTTTCTTGGACAGGATTCTGAAAACTCTTCTCTCTGTAATTAAGTCTCCGATACAAATCTAATAAAAGTGGATCATTTATTCTTTAAGTGCTCCTTAGTCAGCACTTGTAGAGAAATAACTACCGTATATTCCGGCATATAAGACGACTGGGCGTATAAGACGACCCCCAACTTTTCCAGTTAAAATATAGAGTTAAGACGACTCCCATGCATAAGACTACACCTGCGTATAAGACGACCCCTGACTTTTGAGAAGATTTTCTTGGGTTAAAAAGTAGTCTTATACGCCAGAATATACTGTACTTACAATGCTCTTTTGGACAGGTTCATAGGTCAAGAGAAAAGGAATTATAAACAATCAAAGCTTCACTGAATATTCCAACAACTGCTTCCTCCTGGAAAAATACAAGCAAAACCAGCAAACACTGAACAATAGCCCAGCTATGAAAGCCAGCATAATTTTTAATGGCTAGTTAAACAACAACAACATGACATTCAAAATGAGACTCCAAATTCCTACAAGTGCTGCTGATAGTTGTGTGTAGAAGAAATGGGAAGAGCTCTATTATGTGTACAGGCCGTCCCTGAATTACAAACATCCGACTTACATCTGACTTATAGTTTAGAATGGGGTGAAACAACAGGAAGTGAGAGGAACTATAAGAAGGAAAATTCACTCCAATAATAATAATAATAATAATTCTTACCCACCTCTCCTCATGGCTCGAGGTGGGTTACAACATTGCTAAAACACATAATAATCTAAAACATTTTATAAAATACATGTATTAAACATATTTCTACAAAATACATATTAAAATACACAGAACAAATTTGTGCAAATTTAAAATTCTTGATTATATGAGTTATCATGGGAAAAGGTGTCTCCACTGAAGCTTTATCAGCACTCCTTATTTCCACAACAATTCAACAGTTTCAAAATCCAATTGTGACAGGGACAGAAAGTGAGGCAAAAAGTGGATCTTCGGAACAGGGGCACAGATAGCAAAACAAACATAATATAGAGCTATTAATCCTTCCCTAAGCTATCCAAAACTAAAAAACCTTTAAAATATTTTTTGCTGACTTACATTCATAATCAACTTAAGAACAAACCTACAGAAGCTACCTTGTTCATAGCCCAGGTACTGCCTGTAATGCATATACTAAGGCAACCATTTGTTCTGCTACTAATTTCAAGATAGGCATTTATATACTTACACTTTTATTTGTTCGACAGCAGTGTGTGTGCACTGGGTGGGTGGGGGGAACAACAGGGCACATTTTGACTGGGCCTTGTCCTAAAGCCTCCTTTCTCATGCTATGGTCCTAATTTGGGAGTTATCAGCATATGGTGGTACCGAACCCACAGTCTCCTGACAATATCTCCTATTGATTTCATGTAAATATAATACAACCATGGGACCAATACCTGCAGTTTCATTTATCAATGTCTGGCAAAATGTGATCTCTCCAGACATTTTCTAGATCCTCCAGCACAACTCTGTGGTATTTTGTCGCCCAAATGTCATTCTTTTCAATAGAGTTCATTATTTGTTGTTTCACATATCCTTATGAAGTCAGGGAACATATAATACTGTACTAAATAGTATATGGGTGCGGGAGTAAGACAGAGAATCAAGAGCCATTGGCCAAAGAGTTGAACAGGAATTTCCCAGCACTATCTTCTGAACCCATTCTTCCATGAAGGAACAAAAACATTTCACAGCAATGACTCCAATTTCCACCCCTAAGAGGCAGCTCAGAACAATACCATGATTATGGTATCAAAGGTTGCCAAAAAGTCCTGCAAAACCACGAGGGATGCACTCCCCTAATCTACTCCCTGATGCAGTTTGTTCCCCAGGCACCCAAAGCAATATTTCTTCTATATCTAGCATGAAGTTGTATTGAAAGGGAAGTAGATAATCTGTCCCCTCTGGGAAACCCTGGATCTGATCAACCAAGCACATACTCCAGAATCTTTCCTGAGAATAAAATAATAGCAACTGACTTTTTAAGGCAATGATTTTACAATTGCTGCTTTTAGGCAGGATGGAATCATCTTTTGTAGTAGAGAGGCACCTACCATTCGTTATAGCCAGTTTGCGAATCCCCTGGCCACTTTTATAAGCTAAGAAGGGCAAAAATCCAGCGCCCACATGATAGACTTCAGTTTTTAAAGTATTGCTTCCAACCAGCTCAGGCTATACAAATTGAAAAGTATCCATTATTGTGGAGAAGCAAGGTTCAAAGATACATCCACCAGGACTGTATCAGAAAGCATACAAGCTGAATTTTCTCTGTAGAGTGCTGTGTAAATTGCTCACAGCAGGCTAAGTCTGCACTCTTTTTTATGGACTAAAATATAATAGGCATCTCAGCACACAAGACTGCTCCTTTGGACAGGTGAGCAGGTGCAATGCCGGAAGAGAATAATGCGTTATCGCCCTTTCCAATTTTTCTTTTATTGCTACACTTACAACTACAGAGTAGCCCTTTGAGTTCTAGTCGATGTTCTAGCTCAGTGTTTCTGCTGTTATCATACTAATTATCACCTCAATAGTTTCATCACCACCAGTTCCCTAGCAAAATAAATATCTTATTTATCTATGCTCCATGGAAGAAGACTGCTATTGTGTCTGCCATCCTTATAATTTCCTCACTCTGAAGTTCAACCATAGCTTCAACAGAATTGCTTCCTTGAAGCATCAGGAAAATCTCCAACATTCATTAGGAGGCTATCTGGGGACCTCATCACACTAGAGCATCTCTCCACTTAGAATCTTAGAATCATAGAATTATGGGCCATCCAGTCCAACCCCCTGCTAAGAAGCAGGGAATTTGCATTCAAAGCACTCCCAACAGATGGCCATCCAGCCTCTGTTTAAAAGCCTCCAAAGAAGGAGGCTATCACACTCTGGGGTAGAGAGTTCCACTGCTGAACAGCTCTCACAGTCAGGAAGTTCTTCCTAATGTTCAGATGGAATCTCCTTTCTTGTAGTTTGAAGCCATTGTTCTCCAGGGCAGCAGAAAACAAGCTTGCTCCCTCCTCCCTATGACTTCCCCTTACATATTTATACATGGCCATCATGTCTCCTCTCAGCCTTCTCTTCTTCAGGCTAAACATGCCTAGCTATTTAAGCTGCTCCTCATAGGGCTTGTTCTCCAGACCCTTGGTTATTTTAGTTGCTCTTCTCTGGACACATTCCAGCTTGTCAATATCTCTCTTCAATTGTGGTGCCCAGAATTGGACACAGTATTCCAGGTGTGGTCTAACCAAGGCGGAATAGAGGGGAAGTATAGGCACTATATTCCTATTGATGCAGGCCAAAATCCCATTGGTTTTTTTGCCGCAGCATCACATTGTTGGCTCATGTTTAACTTGTTGTCCACAAAGACTCCACTTTAAATCTAGTTGCTGCCTCCTGCGGAATTATGGGGTTTGTAGTTTAGGGAGGGGCTTTATACTGCTCAGCCAGATAGATCCTGGGGCCAGATAGATCCTGGATTTAAAGTGGATAGATGCTCTAGTGTGATGAAGTCCTAGATGTGTTAGTTTCTGGGGTTGGAACATCTTAACCTGCCACTCAGTTCTGCAGACACTTCCGAATGCTAGTGTGTTTAAGCTCTTGAAGGTTGAACTCAAAACTATCAGATAGATAAAAAGATAGACAGACATTGTGTTTGTAAATTAAATTGCATGGGTTTCTTAGTGTTTTTGTGTTTAATAAAATATATCTTCGAAGTGATCCTTCACTATTGTAATTTTTTTCATTTTATGTATGACTTCATTTCAAGAGAACTCACAAATTGTTTTTATCTCCTCCCCCTCCCCCCTCCACTTATGCCACTCCTCCTGCTGTGTGTCTTTGAAACAGATATTGAACTGCTGGCAGCTTGCAGAGAAGAGTTTCACAGGCGGCTAAAGGTTTACCATGCTTGGAAATCCAAGAATAAGAAGCGCAATGCAGAAACAGAACAGCGTGCTCCTAAATCAGTGACTGACTATGGTGAGAGCAAATGCTTTGTTTCTGAAAATGCAGATAAAGTTAAGGGCATAGCAGACATCTGAAGGTGCTCAAAAGTATTTCGGCAGCAGTACTCCTGGGAAAGCATGTATGTATCATGCCAAAACCCTTGGAATAGGTTCTCTGATAGAATATTTGAAAATGTGTTACAAGCAGAAAGTCAGGCACATTGTTGAATTTTGCCTGCAGAACAAATAGCATTAGATACTTTGGGAAACAGAAATACTATGTGCCACGGATGCACACTCTTCTCTCTTTCAGGATTGCATTTGTGTGAGTATGTTCAATATGTCCCCCCTGCATCCAACAAGCAGAAGCTGGATGTACTCTTTGGCCAAAAACGTTCTATACCCTGTAATGAGAATGGAAAAGTTAAATCAATCATCAGTTTGTTTTGTGAGCTCTAAACATAGTGGATGTGCAAGTCAAATCATTGGGAGAGGGGGTTGTTGTAGGTTTTTCAGGCTATACGGCAATGTTCTAGAAGCATTCTCTCCTGATGTTTTGCCTGTATCTGTGGCAGGCATCCTCACAACCTCTGAGGATGCCTGCCATAGATACAGGCGAAACATCAGGAGAGAATGCTTCTAGAACATGGCCATATAGCCCAAAAAACCTACAACAACCCAGTGATTCTAGCTATGAAAGCCTTCGACAATACATTGGCAGAGTGTTTCTGTTTTACAAAGAGTCCTGCTTTAATTATCAGCAGAAATAAAATTTCTGCTTGGCTTGGCAGAAGCAACTTGCCACTAGTCAAACATTCTGAACATAGATAACTATTCCAAGGACTTGATTAAGTTTGATCATTTTTATTACAAAGGAATAGATACTGGCTATGCTTTCCATTTCGAGTTTTAATCTAAAACTTGTGAGTTTTGTCCTGAAGCATATGTTGACTCAAAACCACTTAATCACAAATATTCCTATTCTTAGCAACGGTTGTTGTTCTCAGATCTTAAACTTGTAATGCCTTCTAGGTAGTCTGGCAGATTGGAGATGTTTAGTTAATAAATTTATGGAAACTATGCTAGAGACCCATTAAAAGTTCAATAATTTTTATGCCAGTTGCTGTCAGCACTAAACAAATGGAAAGAAAATGTTTCTGCAGAGAGAAGAATTACCAGATGCTTGTGTTATATTTAATGAATGCATCCTTCTGATAACAATGTTCCCACATTTAATAATTTACAAGTTCTGTATCATTTCACAGTTACTGCAGTTATGATGGACATATCTGTGCAAGATGCCTATTTGTTTCATTTAGGGAAAAAACTTTCTGAAGTAGAGTAAAGTTTTTCCTTGTTGGTTGAGATTCCTTTTTGCTGTTTCAGAGGGCTAAGGATCTAAGCCTTCTTTGAACCATTGTAGGGAGATATTTTGTTGAATGAGGCATTCATTGGAACATCCTTTTTTGGAAACACAACAATATCAAACTGTGCATCTCTACGCAGCAGGAGTTTAGTTATGTTTACGGATTAGAGGAGAGTTACGAAAGGGGCTAGACTTTATGGAGCAGGTTGTCCTGCTAGCGTATCTAAGACAGGACAAACTAGAGTTAGCATAAACTGTTGGTAAGGAGAGTGGGACAATATTGTCCATCCACATTTTTTTAAGTCTACAGAATAGCATTGGGAATACTGGATCAGACCCCAAGTCTATCTATTCCTTGTTTTGATTCATTTGTTTTAAACTATATTTAATTTACCTCATCTCAGTAGATCTCAGGAAAGTATATAGTTTGGAGAATGATTCAATATAAAGCTACACTGACATAAAACCAATGCTAAGATCTAAGTAAATAAGCTAAGTAGCTCCAGAATTGTCTTCTCATAGTAACCTTCGAGAAGTCTAAAAGCAGGAACCAAGGAAAATTGCCCTGTCCCATTGTTGCCCCCTTCAAAGGTTATCCAAAGGCATCCTGCACTTATTACAATTGAGAACCTATCTTCCATGACATAGTAAGATAAAGGTAAAGGTTTTCCCCTGACATTAAGTCCAGTCATGTCCAACTCTGGAGGGTGGTGCTCATCTCCATTTCTAAGCCAAAGAGCCAGCATTATCCATAGACACCTCCAAGGTCATGTGGCTAGCATGACTACATGGAGTACTGTTACCTTCCCACTGGAGAGATACTCACATTTGATCTACTCACATTTTCATGTTTTCTAACTGCTCGATTGGCAGAAGCGGGGGCTAACAGCGGGAGCTCACCCCGCTCCCTGGATTTGAACCTGCAACCTTTCAGTCAGCAAGTTCTACAGCCTAGCAGTTTAACTCGCTGCACCACGGGGGCTCCTTCCATGACATAGTCATGGCTAAACTAAGTTAGTTGAGACCAGCAGAGATGAGTCCTTGCCAGTCTTCCTGTACACATATGTTTCACTTCTTGCAGATTTGCAAGATAGCTATGGTTTACCATTAAGCTACTTTTGACATACCATATCTGGAACAAACTTTTCCCTCTTCTATAAAACTTTCTGGCCTGGTTTGCAAGTGAGAAAAAGTGAAACCTAAGCCAGATATTCAAATCATGCAACATATGCCTTATGTCTAACCTATTTCATATCAGTCTCGTTAGTTGAGTACTAATAATGATGCCCTTTATTGCACTGTTGAAAATGTTACTTTTTCCACATTGTTGAGGTTGAAATGTTATCTGGTGTCTTCAGTATCAAATGTTTGTTTGCAGATTTTGCTCCATTTATGAACAACTCAAGTAAGTGGGAGAGCTGGAATCTTTCAGCTAATTTTAAAGGCTGGGGAAACTTAGGCTTTGTTTTACTAACACAATGGTGTTTTGCTATGCTTTTGTAAATCAATATCTATTTCATTTAAAAAAAGTGGTCTAAAAGTGCTTAAGAAATGCTGGTGGTGGAGAAACAGTGACTGAAGAAGATGGAAAAATTATCCTAGAGATGTTGTTCTCTTTGCAAGAAGGAGTCATTACTCCGAATTATAAATCTGTATACCAATTGTTCACCATATATACCTGTAGCAAAACACCAGCGTTGTCATTAATGAACTAACCTTCAGAACAAAAAATAACATTTAATGGGCTCAGTATAAAAGAGGCTTACTGTCTGTGTTACACGGAAGACCCTTGGTTCACTGTGCAGTTGATTTTTAATTGGGGAGTGCAGGTGTGCACCACAATGAGAAAAAAGACCTATCAGACGCCCTTCTCTGAAAAGGCTCCTTAACTCGTAGACCTCACGCTTCACCACTTGTAAACACTAGAGAAGCCAATGCCTTCATTTGTCACAGAGTACATAGAGATAATTTACAGAGATTGATTAAATCCTTTCTCAGGTCAAGTGATTCAACTAAAATTAAACAGAACTCTCAATTCCTCTAGATAAAAACAACCAGAATATTATCCATGGTAATGTTTCCTGTATAGTGGTTTAATGTTGGACTGTGACTCTAGAGTTCGAATCCTTACTCATTGATGGAAACCCACTGGTTAACCTTGAGGGAAGTCACACTCTAAACCTCAGAGGAAGGCAAAGGCAAATCCCCTCTAAACAAATCTTGCTAAGGAAGCCCCACGATAGGGATTGCCATAAATCATAAACAACTTCAAGGCACACAGCAACTGAAATTATGTTTGCTGTAAAGATTGATTGATAAATGGCAAGTAATTAGGAATAAAACCTAGTAGATATTGTCTTTTCCTAAAAGGTCTTTTTCCTCATTTGCTTATTTTCTTTTTACAGAGTTCTGACTTTATTCATCAATGATACTAATGATGGGACATATTTCTGCTTTCTATTGAGGGCTTAAACAGTTGTCATTACTACATGTATAAATTCAGTATTTATGAGAGCAATGCACATTTTTCTTTCTGTTCATAGTTACAAACATTTTGTCTGTAGGTATGAAGAGGACATTTATAAATCTGATCAGACAGCGGTTTCCTCCATTTTACCTGAACCCAAATCCAAAGCTGCATTTGCTACATAATGCTCTATTGGCTTGCAATTAGAGCAACTTGCTAATAATTGTTTCCTTTGTATTTAATTACGCAACTGTGTTTTGTGTTAGTTAATCATAATAAGCTGAAGTTTATAACTGCTACTTTTGAAGTCACAAAATACTTCTTTCTTAGGTGTATGCAAACAAAATAAATTAATCTAGAGTGGGTCCTTGGGATCTACTAGGGTTTGCTTTCAGGACTACTTTGCACCCATGGATACCAAAATCAGTGGGCGCTCAAGTCCCATCATATACAGTGGCACAGTAAAATGATGTCCCTATATAAAATGGCAAAATGCAGGTTTGCTTTTTACATTTATTTTTCCTTTGTGGAATATTTTCAGGCGGTGGGGCCCATAGATAATTCTAGCAGGTTTTAGTGAAGATGAAAATGTTTATATGAGTGCATCAGGAACTTTTAAATGCTACTTTATTTTAAACTGTGGTCCAATGGGAATTGGAAGAAATTGTTTATTTTTATTTTTTTCCCAGCCCTCAGAATTTATAGTGGTATTTACCAACATTTTTTTTTTGCTTTCTGCAGATTAAAACAAAAAAGTCTCTTTTAAGAGAGAGAAAGCGGCATATAAATAAATATAACAGCAACAACAAATGATGGCACTACAGGGAGATTTTGGTGCTTAGCTGCAGATTTTTTTTTACACTTGTTATTTCTTGTAGCTCAACAGAATGCAGCAAGTCAGCTAGCTGCAAGGCCGCAACAGGAGGTTGAAGTGAATCGACAACAGCGTTACTTCCGTATTCCCTTCATCCGTCCAGCAGACCAATACAAGGATCCCCAGAACAAGAAGAAAGGTTGGTGGTATGCCCACTTTGATGGACCGTGGATTGCACGTCAGATGGAGCTTCATCCTGACAAGCCACCCATCTTGCTAGTGGCCGGTTAGTATTTGGTTTGGTTTTGTCTTAAAATTAAAATGTCATGCTAGCTATCCACATGATGGGTTTCGAACCAGGCAATCAGTTACCTTTCTTTGAATTCCTACACATTCTGTTCAGTGTTTATATCCAAGACAATATACTTAATAATAATAATAATAATAATAATAATAATAATAATAATAATAATAATGCTTTATTTATAGACCACCCTATCTCCTCGAAAGGACTCAGGGCGGTTTCCAACATTTATGGCAAACATTCAGTGCCAATGAAAAGACATATAAAGATTATTACATCAGAACCAAACACTTCAAACAGTATAAAACAACCTAACTTTAAACTTAATATTCAGGAAATAAAACTTAAATTTTAAATGTAGAGATGTTGCACTTCTTCATAAAGCTATGGTAGCTGTAAGTAGGTGAGAAACACGGTCCTCGGACATTGCTAGACTGCAACTTCTATCATCTTTGGTCATGAGGGGCAAATGATAGTGGAAGTCTCAATCCAATTCCCCTTCCCAGGTCCTATTAGGAATTATCATTCCTTGCTCTTTAAACAATGTCTCCGTGCTTGGGCTTTTTATCGCTCAGTATTTTGTTTCACATCACAGATGGGTCCCTAATTCTAGGTGCAGGATTTTCAGTAGTGAGTTGAACTACTGCCTCAAAGAGCTATTTGTGAACATATACACACTTCTTGTGGTTCTCAGACAATATGTTAAACGGAAATCATTCCTGTTTAAGACTGTTGCTTTATTCCTAATCCCTTGAGCCTGTCTCTAAAGTGAAATTTGTTCTTATCTAAAATAACTGTTGTTTTGGTTCAGTGCTGCAGACACTAGAAACCCAAGGTGCCCTTTGTGAAATATCATCTTTTCTCAATTGTAGGCAAAGACGATATGGAAATGTGTGAGCTGAATCTTGAAGAGACTGGCTTGACTCGGAAGCGTGGGGCTGAGATTTTGCCGAGGCAGTTCGAGGAGATCTGGGAGCGCTGTGGGGGAATCCAGTATCTTCAAAATGCAATAGAGAGCAAACAAGCTCGGCCTACTTATGCAACGGCAATGTTGCAGAACCTATTGAAATAAATACGTAGTCACTTTGCACATTCACCTTTGGTGTTTTGAGACCTTCTCCCACCTTAACAATAAAGGGAAATGGTGCCTCTGAGTAACAGAGGACTCTTATGCAGTCTATAATCATATAGAGATATTTAATATAAACAGATTTTATTAATGTGGAGGTTTTCAATTTGTACTTCTGATGTGTGTGTAGTTAATTCACTAGTTCCTTGGTTCTAAGCATTTGTTTCAGTGAAATATCTGGTTTGCTTTTGTTCATACATTGACTCTTTTTCATATAGCATGTCTCATAACACTAATAATACTGTAATGTAGAGTAACATATTATCAGGAGCTAAGTACGTAACTACATTGTGTTGTCTTTCCTTCCTAAAGAGTACCTCCTTTGTAATACTCAGAATGTTAAATTTCTTCGAGGTAATGTAGCACAGTGTCCCTCACCATGGTGCCTTCCAGATCTTTGTGGCTACAACTGCTGTCAGCCCTTATGAAGCAGGCCAGGGATGATGGGCATTGCTATCCAATACATCTGGAGGGCGCCGGGTTGAGAGTTTAGTGTAACACGAAGGCAATATTGCGTCTTCTAACTGGAATTGTGAGGCCTTAAAATTAACTTCTTTTCTTCAGAAGTTAAAACAAACTTTTATAAGATGAAAGACTGCATGTGCAGATTGTGAAAGCTGTTTGACATAGATGCATTCACTTAGAAAAAAACCATTTTTGACATGTCTCTTAAGTAGACTGCAGGAGCTCACTTGATGAAAGCAGAACAGTTCTTTATGAAGTACGTTAATAATAATGGAGATACTGAACATTTTTGGTGCATATTTAAGTAGCTGAATTCGTGTGTGTGTGTGTGTGTTTCCCTTTTGTAAGCAACTTTTATTTTTTACAATATGAATTCCTTCAAGTAATTTTGTTTTTATTTTTTCTGTCATACGTTTCTTAGAAATCTTTTCTTTATCAGTCTGTTAGATGTTCCTTCACAAATAGTACCCATGATATATCTCTAAATACAGTTAGAACTGCAAGCATAAGGGAAACAGCTTCCATTTTTGATGAGAATGGAGAACCTGATTGGAGTATGCTAAGGTGAATTTTGTACTTTCTTTGTACTTTCATGAAATCCTCCTGGATTAGGTGGTTTTTCTCAGACTCTTTTCATACTTTTGATGAGTGGTACAGCACTGGAATTTCTAATTATGATGCTCTTCTTCAGACGACTTGGCTTCATAGCATTAAAGTAATAAACCTTTTCATCTAATCTTGCAGATTATTTCTAGAGCTAATCTCCCAATATCAGACTTCATAGGTTGTTCTTTTTTGACCATGATACCTTTGATGGTAATTAAATTTTTAAAGTATAATAATTACTGGTTTCCTACAGATTTAACTTACCTTTTTGATATTAATGGATGGCTCCCATTGCTTGTTCATATCAACCAACTAAGCCTGGGTTTTATCTCAGTATTAGGAGATTTGGGGAAATAAAACAACATTGTTTGTAGTTTTTTGAAAAAATTATAATAATCGAGACTATAATAATGATACAGACTATACTTGGGAATTATTTCATTCCGTTAATTTGTATTTCAGAAAGAACAAATTACATTTCCAGGCTCTGATTTTTAAATCTTCAAGAGTTCTTTTCATTGCCTTCTGCCACCACATGTCTGCTGGCGGAAATATACTATTTGTGTTGTATAAGTTATAGCCAATTTAATTTATTAATTTAATATTTATGACCCCCTTGTTATCTGAACACATTTTGGGGTCCTGGGAATGGTCATATATTCCCATCTTTACATTGATAAAATGGCTTCCCAGATCCACCTGAAGTCCAACAAGCAAATGCTTGATGTAGTTAGCTTTGGCATTACTAGGTTAAATCTGTTTCTACCCTAACTGTTTATTGATTGTATATACCCTCAAAATCCATCAGAAGTTGCATAGGAATTCTCGATAAAACATTAAGAACCGGTGGTTGTAACTAAAGACTTTTTCCAAGAGGAGAAAATATTTTTTCCTAATCAAGAAAGTTTTGATTTCTGCTTTCACACCATCTTAAGCTCTGATTTCCTACTGCACTGTATGCCATCCCCAAGGCACCACAACTCTCAGGAATGGCTTTTTGTCCCCATGCAGAGTAAATACAAAACTAAATAGTCTGGCATCCCACTGAGTATTGTGAATGGAACTCCACTTGGATCATTTCTCAAGGTCCAAGTTCATGTGTGTTCATGAGTTCTGGAACATCTACATCCAGTAAGAAGACTCAGCTCTGCAACACACTTACGTATGTACAGGATTTCTCTCACTGGGATTTTGTTCCTGGAAATCCACATTTCTCCTCAGATGATCCTGCTAAAGGTGAACTAGTACTAGATAAAAACTTCTGCTAAAACATAAATTAGTACATTAGAAACCATGATGAATAACATAGAATTAAGTCTAGGCCATAGGATCAGGCAACCTTTTTGTTCTCAGGGTATATATTAGTGGTTTCCAACCTTTGGTCCTCCAGGTGTTTTGGACTCCAGCTCCCACAGTTCCTAACAACTGATCAGATGACTGGGATTTCTGGGAGTTGAAGTCCAAAACACCTGGAGGACCAAAGGTTGGGAACCACTGGATATATGGACTGATAGGAGGTGGATTGGGGACATGTATGAATGGTTGGCACAGGATATAGTTAGTTAAGCCTGGTGCCCTTTCCCTTTACTTTCCATGCCATGTCTGTCAGGCACACATACCTTTTCCTTGTGAAGATACCTGCATAAACACTTTCACACTGTCTTTAACCTCCCTATTGCATTTTTGCTCTTTGCAGTGTACTGAATAATAGTGTAGCACATTGGGAATCCTGAAGCTTGAATACTCACAATAGTTCACATTTGAAAGTTTACAGGGGTCCAACGTACATCTTGTCCATTGCCCGTGCATGGTGTAGTGAATTATATCCTTTAGCAATAGCCTTTTAGATTTTAATGTACAATGCTTTAATGAGACTGTACCCCACTTCTTATGCTGGTCTATGACCGTAATAAAGATTTTTGAGTTGAACAATAGATAAGCCCTCAGAGAAAGGCATGTTTAAGTGGGCTCACACAAGCTTTGCTTTCTGTTTTCCACAAATCTCCTTTTCTTACCATTCCAGTGTCTTATTTTTTAGTTAGTACATTCTGTTTATTGATAATACATTCCATACAGGTTACACCCAGTTGGCCATTTACCTTTATACCTTTAACTGGGCCTTCTGTTTTGTTTTAAGTGGGACTTTGGGCCAAATTGCAGAAGATTTTTTGAGTACTGTATTTGTGTTTTTTTTTTTTTCAGCTTTGGAGGAAGGTGCAAATGAATACGAAGCAAGGGTGGAGGGGAAAGGTAGCTCAATCTCCTCTTTGGAAGCATGTTCAGCAGCAAAAGATACAGCACCTTCATGTTTTCCTTTCATTTGGGTCAGAATGCAGCATGGAGGGCAAAATCAACTAGGAAAGTCAACTTTAGAATTAAGCCACATTTCTTCCCGTTGTTGCTTCCATCATACTAACTTTAGTTAGTTCAGATCTTTCGATGATTGTTTTTTAAAATCAAATTTAGCTGAAATACTGAATTTCTTCAATAGCTCATTATTTGATATGGTACTTGTTACCTCACTTGGATTAATTGTCATTTATATGGTGCTGGTGTCTAAGGAAGGGAGCAAATATAATTGGAGAGGCATTGATGAATTGTACATTACTGTGTATGTTGGGTACAGCATTTTTTCTGAATTTCATATTAAGGGAGGGATGCATTCCCAGTCCTTCAGTGCTTCTCATTTCCGTATATCTTATGTATCTTTTCAACTGATTTTTGTGCAGAGCTGGATATGCTTGCTTCTTTTGTGGGATGGTTCCCACTAATCTCGGCCACTTAAAAACAACCCAAAAAATTGATAAGTGCCACCACAAGTAAAAAGAGAAAGGTCAAATGTACACATTTCTCACTTAATTTCCTTCTTGGGTTATAATTGAATTTATCTATAAGAGTTTCCAAAAGGGGGAATGCTTTGTGATTTATTGAAGTGTACAGCATTTATAATTGCGGAAATGTGTTCATTTGCATCTGCCTATGAAGAAAAATGAGCTACGGTGTGGGTCATCAAACAAAATAAGAAGCGCTTAAATGAGATGTCATATTAACATTACTAACACTGAGGTTAGTTGGGCTGCTGAATATTGCATCTCATGTCTTCCATATGATCCCACTTGACATTTAAGCATGAAAATTAATAGCAAAGGTGTGTTGCTCAGTAGGACTTAATGTATAAGTTGGAACTACAAAATGTTTCCTGCTGTTTTCGTATTCATGATCTTTCTGATGTGAAAACCCCAGGAAGACTGACTGGTAAATGTATGTATATCATTTAATTAATCCTGAATGTGTGACACATTTTGTTTTGAGGGGATTTAATGTGATATAAAGATCTCCTTGTAGTGTTTGGTCTGTGATGGTTGTTTTCATGTAGAGGCCGCCACATTCTGATTGCAGCCAAGTGATGATGAAAATGCAGATCTGAATTTAGCCTAAGTCTCAAGATGCAGCAGTCAAAGTTACAGAATTAAAACCTGCACATCTGTTGACCTTCACAAAACAGCACAATGTCATGAGCATCCCATCCCATCCATCTTCTTTAATTATATCTATTTTAATCTCTTGCTTTTTTCCTCCTAAACCATTTCAAGTAGTTTGTCAAATGACCTTAATTATGTACTGAAAATTGCTGCAAAATAAATTTACTCTGCTGATCTCACTGGAGTTTTATTTATTTAAGAAAGAATGGGAATGAGCGGAGGAGTTGTGAAAACTCAATTTGCTTTTCCTCCAATTTGATATACATAGCATGTTTCAAAGGAATGGAATACCAGCTTCTTTTCAAATGAGTTTTATCAACTAGTTTATAATGAGAAAGGAAACATTTTAGAAATAAGGTGAAGTTGTTACTTGGACTTGTTTGTGAAATGTTTCAAAGCAAGCTGGTTTTAGAATCAGAGATTTAAAAAATGGTGTTCATCTCATAGTTGCCTTGATCATGGCACACGATGTACAACCCCTTTAGCAGTGGTCTTTGAGGCTTTAAAGTGAAATTCCAAGACTCACTTCATGCTTTGCAGTTTCCAAGAAATTTTGGTCTTTTGCTGTGTTTTGCTATGTGTATCCATCTAGATCGGGGTTGCTTTGAGGGAGAAGGGTGGGACAGATTGTGAGGGGAAGAAGCAGAACATTTTAAATGCCCGGTTTTATTTATTTATTTATTTATTTGCAGCATTTATATTCCGCCCTTCCCACCCCGAAGGGGACTCAGGGCAGATCACAGAACACATACTTGACAAACATTCAGGTCAGTTAAACAGACAGGACAGACAACAGTATATGTCAGCATTTTTTCCCCAACTTTAGCATCCTGGAGGTTGTGCTCGATTTTGGCCACGGGAGGGGGGGTGTGTGCTGTTACTCTATGATGAACAGCCCTTGATCACAGACTTCCTGCTTCCTTTGAACAATGTCATTTTCTGGTACTTCTTTTTTATGGTGCCGTAAAATCCCTCCCCACTTAAGCAGTGCCTAATTTCCTTACTCACGTCTCACACCTGTTTTCAAACTGCTTAGGTGGACAGTGAGCTGGGTTGAAGGTCAGATGCTCACCCTGGCCCGGGCTTCAAGCTGCCAACCTTTCGATTGGTGTGATCTATTGCTGCTGGTGATTAACCAGCTGTACTAAAGCTCGGCTGGGATGTATGCTTTGTGATATTAAAGGTCCCCTGTTAATAAATAGCACTGGGGCCTCTATCTGTTTCCTAGCTGAGCCCAGGGAGTAAAAAGTCTTCACTGTGGATTGTGCTGGAAAGGAGTGGATGGAGTGGTGGTGAGGGAAATTCCTAAAGCTTTTTTTTTTCTCTTTAGGATTGCGGCTTCTGTCTTCCTGACCAAATAGCTTCCTCCAACATGATTTGCCATTGCCAGATATTCTCCTTGGGGCTGGTGCTTTCCCCACCAAACAGAGAGAAATGATAAGGGGATTGATTGGGCTTCCTCCTAACCATTGATCACATGGATGGAGACCTTGTTCTGATACCAAAGCAAGCAGCTTCACTAGCAGGGCTCTCTTGGGAAGCTGTTTGGCCAGGAAGGCTGCTACAGCGTCACAACTGGGCAGAAAGGAAAGCAATGGCGGAGAATGAGAAATAAAAATGCTTTTTTGAATGTGGGGTATGTTACAGTTTCGGTGCAATATATTATGGGTAGCTGTCGTGCCATGGAGAAGCTCTGGGGTAAAATAATCTAAATTGCAGTTGGTTTGTTTTGATTTTGTAGACAAGATCATAGTCAGATAATTAGAAGGGGATCCATTCAATGCTGAAACTCCAGTTAAGGCATCTCCAGGAGGTAGCTCACTAAGCTCTTTTTTGGAGACATCCAGAAAAATACCGTCATCACCTTTCTAGATTTTCGTGGTTGGAAGAAAAATGCTGTTATTCACTTTAAAGAAGAAGTGGGGCTGGATGTGATTTGTGGGTGTGTAGGGGCCCCAGGTGGCGCAGTGGGTTAAACCACTGAACTTGCTTACCGAAAGGTCGCAGGTTCGAATTTGGGGAGCAGCGTGAGCTCCCGCTGTTAGGCCCAGCTTCTGCCAACTAGCAGTTCAAAACATGAAAATGTGAGTAGATTAATAGGGGTACCAGGAGGGTAATGGCAATGATACCTATAGGTAAAATTATAATTATTATGGAACAGAATAGAAACAAGGCTTTTACGCGAAAGTCCAGTTAAATAATTTTATTGTTTTATTGAAATAGAAAACATTCTTGTCCAGCAAAGATATTTGGTAATTTATATTGGATATTGGTAAATTATAGTCAAGAACAATTGTTTCATTATTCAAACTAAAGTGTAAAAATGACTACTATTGCTTGGGTAGTAGAAATTGGTATGAATAAACACATACAAAAAAACAGTTTTGAAGTGAAAATATAGTGACTACATTGAGAAGTCTAACTTCTACAGCCACCAGGAATGGCTGGTGTGTCTGAGATGGGACGTCTCTGCAGGTATTTCCTAGAAATGTCATCTAAGCTGTGAAACAGTACCTTGGCTTCCATGTAGGCTCCCCAGTGATTTCAAGATTCTTCATTTATACATAAGAAATATTATACCACTAAGCACTGTAAACTCAACTCAAAAATAAAAAAATGTCCACCAGCGTCTGGGACAACTACTTCAAATGCAACATCTATGAGCCACATGGGAATGTAACTTGGTAGGCAATTTTCTTAACATCACGGAAAAATAAATAGATAAAGATTAGCTCAGCTTTTACGAGTAATGGCTCTGAATAGTAAACATATCTTAGAAGCAATTAACCATTTTATTGCTTGGATAAGCTGTAATACCTAAAAGCACACATGAAGGAGATGGTTCGGGGTACCATGGATTATACCCAGAGCAGAAATGCACTTGATAATGGAAGTAAAACACCTGCTTTTCAGTAAGGAAGTAAGCAATGTTAAACCCCAGTAAAATACTGCCACTTAGAGCTCTGTTCCTAAGCACATCTACTTGAAAGGTATTGTGGCTTTGGACATTCTGTACAAACAGAGACGGAGAGGAAGTGTAGTATGAGCTGTGCCTCCTCTTTCTTTGCTTCCTTAGAACATCTGAAGTGAGTTGGTAAAATACAGATACACTTCAGCACCTCTAACATGTATCTCTCTTCCTGGTTCTACCCACTTCGTTTCAAGCACCCCAAGCACTTAATCTTTAAAAGCAGAATAGATTGTTCCTTTTGTGTAGTGTTTACTGTATAGTACTATAGTTTAAAGCACAACAACATACTAGATGTGCCTGAATGCTGCTTGGTAAGAAGTCTTGTACATTATGTGTTTTGGTTCTGGTATATTGTGAAGCCTGTATTGTACATGGTCTGTTGCAGTTTTCCCCAACCCAATACAGTGTTCCCTCGCTACTTTGCGGTTCACTTTTCGCAGACTCACTGTTTTGTGGGTTTTTTGCCTCCCAGTTTATGAATGGTTGCCATTGCCCAGAGCGGCGTTCTAATCCCACTTCCTGGCAACAATGGAGTGTGGAAGGGGGATTCATCCTTCCCCTCAGGAGAGAGGCAGCCAGTCAAGAGCAATTGCAAAGCAAAGCAGAGTAAGCTAGCAAAAAAAAAGTGTGTGGTGCTTTTAAATGTCTCCTCGCTTCTGCCTCACTCTTGAATGCGATATACATATATAATGTCCCTACTTCATGGATTTTCACTTTTCGCTGGTGGTCCTGGAATGAAACACCCGCGATAAGTGAGGGTACACTGTTATCTCCAAAGTCTGGGTAATAGCAAGTGCATATCCTCTTATACACAATGCAAAATATACAGGCTAATTCTTAAAATGATATTTTACGGAGACCTACATTCATTCTTTTCAGTTAAAGAAGAATAGTTATTGTAATATCTGTTTTATTTTATTGAGTATCATTGAGTACTAAGACTAAAGCCTAATAACTGGCTGAGAAACTAAGCATTATCAAAAATCATGTTGCACACCTTGAATAAGCTTTCAATCTCTGCATTATGCACCTCCTGTCATTACACATAAAATATTTACTAACACATTTCTTTCCCCATTATTTAGTATACATATCAGCCACTTTGCTGCCCTTTTCAGAATTTGGGATAAAATACCATACGTTTTAACATTTCCAGCACAGACTTATGCATCTGCATCTAAGCTTAAAAATAACCAAAAATATTTATTATATAAACACTGTACAGTTATTAAATACATTTAGCACTGTATTTTTGATAGTTTGTATTACAGATAATGAAATTCAGCAGTTCTGAGGACAGTAGGTGCAGCCACTTTTTTTTTTTTAGCAAAAATAAACTTCAGTTAAAGTGTTCTTTGCCTTTATTGGGGGCGGGGGATAGATTGGTAGCCTTCTGAAGTCTTTGATGCTGTTCTTCTCAAAGACTTCTTTGGTGAGTGAATATCACAAGAGGTCCTCTTGCTAAAGAAAAAAGAAGAAAAAAGCCTATCAAAAGAGTTTTTAAAAAAAGGTTTTAACCAACAGATTCAAAAGCCATTTTGGAAAGACTTAATTTTTGGACTGAAGTATTTCCACTTGCCCTTAAGATTTCTGTTCAAATAAAATCTCATATACAGATATTTCTCTTTTAATTGTTTTCCTTGATTTTCATTGAAAAGTTGGAGAATTTCACCTACACACCGTGACCTAAATGCTCATTAAATTAAATCAAATCAGTTGACTCAATAGAATTTAACTATGCGTTATTAAGGGGGGGGGGCTTCCCAGGCTCTCCTTCCCATCATTTTAGGCATTCAAGCTGTTTCTTCTCTAGAGGAGATGCACTGCAGGCAGGCGTGTACGCTTTCTCTCCTGGGCCTGCACACCACACGCACTCCTTGCTTCCTTTAAGGGCATTTAAAGGAAACAAGTTCTTAAAGCTGTTTCTTACTCTAGAGGAGAGACGCTGAAGGCAGGCGCGCATGCTTTAAGGAGCTTCAAGTTCTTAATAAAAAAGATTAAACTGATGTTGAAAAGCAGAGGAGAAGCTGAGATCGGCTCCCACTTGCTTTCGTTGTTTTTGTACTTGGAGAGCTCTTACCATTATAGGCTCCCAAAGTACCGAAGGAAATGGAGAAAACAGAAGAAAAGAATTCTGCGGACAAGCCTAATAAGCTTGTTAAATTAGTCCTCCTAGCTCTGTCCATTGTTTGGTTCACCCATCAGTGTAATGTAATAACATAGTTCTGATCCATGTCAACGTAAAATTTTCAACTTTTTCAGATTTGCTATAAGTTTAGGATTCCACCACACCTAGAAAATATTTATAGACCCTCCATTTTACTCACAAATTGAAATGTAGAGTGGAATCTCAGGCCTCCTAAATTTATTCTCTAATAGAATATAGCCTTCTTTTTAACTCGTATCAAACTTTTTGAAGCTCTTGGTGGCGTTTCATTTGCAGAACAAGTTTTTGTGACAAAATAGATCAGAACTTTCCAAACATTGGTGATACAGTCTTTAGACATGCATCCTTTTGTGACATAATAATTCAGTTTTACTAGCAAACTGGAGGTTAAACCAACACCCTATAAGAAGCACGGACACATACAAACATTGTAATAATGAAATGTATGAAGACACAACATATCTCATGAAAACCTTTGATTGTGCTTTTTCTGCATTGTAGGGGGTTGGACTAGATGGCCCATGTGGTCTCTTCCAACTCTTTAGAAAAATATATGATTTATAAGATAATAATATAAATTTTCAAGCTTTTGTCATTTATGAGTAGTCATATATAAATATGTTCAGGAATTTTTAAAAATTCTACCTTACCATGACACACTTTCACACTGCACTGGCACACTAATGTGTCATGACACATTGTTTTCTCTGATATCGAGTATTTTAAAAAGTGTATTTCCATTCAGAAATGCATCATTAATGGAACTGAGATGCTCATCACAGGCTTTCAAAGATGACTGTAAAATTACAATTATATTCAGTCCCTCATTTGTGGGTTTTACCTTTGCAGATTTGATTATTCGTGGATTTGATTAAGATCTTTCTAGGAATGTCTAACTCCTCCAGCTTGAACATTGAGAGTCTTAAAGAGAATCCTTCTCTAGGAATTTCAAGTGTCCCAGCCTGATTCTGGTGGAAGTTGACCCTAGAGTTGCTCTGGCGGACACAGATTCCTAGAGAGCTGTTTGTTCAGGTTAATTATAACCTTTTTTAATGATGGATTTTCTTCCATGGTCAGGAATGCATACTACAATTTACAAACACACACAGACAGACACATACACGATGACAAACCTTTAGATCCTCTGGTTGTGGCTGGAATTTGAGGCTTCATACACTAACTTGTCAGTCTTTGCTCTGCGTCTGGTGGCCTATGAAGAAAAGAAGGACATATGTTTGCTTCTTGCTACATGTGGCAACACGAGACCAAGAAACGAGTACAGACATACCATGCAGAAGGCTCATCAGATGATCTTCACTAACTGAAGCATCCTGCTACAGAGATGTATGTTACAGGTGATTAGTGACAGTGAGGATTAGTCATGTTTAGTCCTGGAATACCGAAGGTAAGGATAAAGTTTATTGTGATGGGACAGGAAAGAATTTTACGATTTAGAGGAGACATTCTGGAGAGGAGGAAGAAGAAGAGGAGGAGGGCTACGTGCATGCATTTTACCTCCGTTCTCTGTTGTGTGTTCATTATTTTGTAATGTCCCTTGATCACTGCTCTCTGAAGAATTGCTGCAAGCACTTACGCTACATGGCCCACGGCAAAAACTACTGATGGGTTCATCGTGATCAAAAGCGGGATTAATTCTTACAGCATTCTCTGGACTGTATGGGCTGAGAGGAGGGCCTCTATAAAGTAGAAGATGTTGGTTTTATGGTAAGGTTTCCTGTTTGCAGCGTGAACAGGTCAAAATTTGAAATAAAGTAACAGAAAGGGTTGAGCTGCTTACGCCACATTAGTCTTGCATTTGCATTTCCTTCGCAACTTAATTATTAACGTGATGAACAGAAAAATAAGGCACAATAAGCCTAGCATCACAGCTTTGGAGATGTTGGATCGGATAGGCGCTGGAGTGTATTTTGAACAACGCTCTCTGTTTCTATGTACTGGGCATCTAAAATATGGGGGAAGAGGAAAGCAAAGCGGTATATGTCAAAAAAAGAGAGTAAAGGGTGCAAAGCCAAAATTCATAACTCATGAGAAACCATGTACCAAGAAACCCTGTGCATAAATACATCCTCATTGAGTTTCAATGTTCAAAAGGAACTGGTCAGGAGGGATTTGTCCATTGTTGGATGCATGCACATAGCAAAGGCTTAACTCTGGAACTGGGAAGAGAGCAGATGTCGAATGCTCCAAAACCATGCTTAGTGAATTGCAGATTCTTACCTCATGAAACCTCATGTAGCAGTTTGGACTGGTGGAAGGTCCTATAAAGAAAAAGCTTGTGCCACATCTTTCCCACAAGTGGTGTGCATGCACGTGCACCATGGTAATGTATTGTCTCAGTGTTATAACAGCAATATGAACATTCCCTTCTGCCAAAGGAGTATGTATGTAGTTTCTCTAACATCCAGTTTAATCTGTACTGTGTCTGCTGAGATAACTGAAGTATTGGATCTCAGTATGTTTTCTAGGAATGTGAAATGCTTGGTCCTTCAACTCCTGTCCTTCTAGGTGAGAGACTTTGCCAGTTGTAACTGAAAGCATCTATATATGTGTCTGCACTCAGATAAAGCAGATAAAGCAGATGCTGAAATAAAGACCTTTCCACCAAGTTGCATATGTATGAGGCAGAGTTAATGACAGTAGGGTAAAAAACAGTTTGAGATTATACAGGTTGAGCATCCCTTATCTAAAATTTCAAAATTTGAAATCCTCCAAAATCAGATCTTGACCATGTGGGTGGCTAAGATAGTCATGCCTTTGCCTTCTGATGACTTACTGCACTCACATTTTATTTCATGCACAAAATTATTTAAAATCTTGCATAAAATTCCCTTCAGGCCAGGTATATCAGGTATATAAACCATAAATAAAATTTGTATTTAAATTTGGATCCCACTTCCAAGATATCTCATTATGGCTATATTAGGAAATACAAGTATCCCCAACCCTGGGGAGGGCTGGGCTGGGGGTGTAATCCAAAACATTTCTATTTCTGAACATTTTGGATAAAGGATACTCAGCCTGTACTAAAATATAAGTCCATGTATGTCAATATTGTTACTCTGATGAGGACAGTGTTTTCAGGGCCTCATGAGGGAATTATTTCAATCCTGCTGTTTGAAAGCCTTTATCTGATGACACCAGTATTTGAATAGCCAACATTCATTGCTCTCCTGGTTTCACATTCATATGACATTTCGGTTCTGTAATAGCAATGAGAATGTGGAAGGATGGGTGCTTTGTTTTGCAATTTGTACATATATGTGATTGGGAGGTGGCATTTAATTTGGTTGTACGATGCACAATGACAATAAAGTTATTATATTCTATTTTTTGAGCTGGATGTCATCACCCAATATTGTTAGGCAGTTTCAATATTTTCCTTATATCTGTTGGTAACACAGTAGTATCAACAGGCATGTTTGCCTTTATGGTCATTTACCTACCTACAGACCGCCCCTCTACCTGGAACCAATTCACATTTGTCACCATTAACACACAGCTGTGGCTCAATCTCGCACAGGCTCTGGCATGGCAGTCCATCTTTTCGTACATAACCAGGTTTGCAAAGACAATCTGCCTCTTTAGTCCAGTCGTTCTTTACACACCGTGAAAATTCATCACATGCCATGAACTTGCAAGGGTCTGCTTGATCCGCTGTAATAAGAGAAAGAAAAGTCTTTTTGAATGGATTCATTGATGCAATGTCTCATGCAACATGGCAAACATTTACAGAGATGATGGAAGAAAAGAGCCACTTGTATATTGTGTCCACCATTTAGTGCAATGTATATTTTAGAAGCAAGTTGTCAAAATACCTTAAAGGTACTCGATCCCATCTGACTTTAGGGTTGGCCATGGCTGATACCTGAATAGGAGACCACTTGTGAAAACCAGGGGCTGTTGCTATATTCCAGAGGAAATATGAGACAAAACCACTTCTAATAATCCTTGCCTACGAAATCACTGTAAAAATTCATGGGGTCACCATAGGTTGTCCAGCAACTTGAAGACTCACACAAACCTTAGAAGGAACAGAGTTTCTTCTTTCTGCATTCACAAGCAGCAGTAATATATTTCCTTCATTTATAATGTTTTTAAGCCATCATTTAGGGGAAATACTGTATCAAGGTAATTTCCATAAAATATTTCATGTTTAAGTAACCATCAAAGCAAAATAAATAATTACAAAAATTAATAAAAGTAGTACACAATCAGAAAGAACCAATTACAAAATACCAGTAATAGTGGACCAAATCGTATTGCTAGCCTCAATCAGTATAAATCTATCAAATTAATATCTCAATCATAGGTCAAGATTTATGTAAATCCCATAATTTAATGGGTCTATTCTAGCTGTAACTAGCGCTTTAAAAAATGAAAATCAGGGATCTTGCACCACATTAAAAGTCCCCTTGTGAACAGCAATCTATCCTTAACAGATATTTTACTTTCCCTATGGAGCCCCTGGCGGCACAGTGGGTTAAAACATGGAGATGCTGAACTTGCAGACTGAAAGGGTGCAGTTTGGAATCCAGGGAGCCGCATGAGCTCCTGCTGTTAGCCCCAGCTTCTACCAACCTAGTGGTTCAAAAACATGTAAATGTGAATAGATCAATAGGTACCGCTCCGGTGGGAAGGTAACGGCACTCCATACAGTCATGCTGGCCACTTGACCTTGGAGGTGTCTACAGACAATGCTGGCTCTTTGGCTTAGAAATGGAGATGAGCACCAACTCCCAGAGTCAGACATGACTGGACTTAATGTCAGGGGAAAACTTTTACCTTTACCTTTACTATGAGTAAAGTGGGGTTGGAGAAGGGGTGGGACCCCTCAGCTCATGTGATGAAGAAACTGGAATAAGTAACAAGTGAACAAGATCCTCTAGAAATCGAAATCTGTTTCTAGAACAGAGGTGGAAGAACATATTTACTTTTAATTCTCCTGATGTCTCAGAATGTTGAGGAACCCACCAAAACAGAACTGAAAGGGCTTGGTGGGTGCAGATGGAAAATGGACCCATGAAAATATTCTCCCCCACAATTCCTGCTGGACCACATGTCTTCAGAAGGAGGGAAATACAGAGAACAAAGGTAAAACACACACAAATAAAATGAACTTTTGTTGAAAATGTTGGTCCAAACTTAGTTTTTCTCTTCATAAACCCAATAGTAATAATAGTAATAATAATAATAATATAAAATATTAACTCTGGGACTTCTGAATTCAGACAGACAGAATTTTGGAGAACAGTACTCCTGACCTCACAATCGTGTTAAAAAACAAAGTATGGATTGTCGATGTTGCAATCCCAGATGACAGCAGGATTGAAGAGAAACAACTGGAAAAGCTGACACGATATGAGGATTTCAATATCAAACTGCAAGGACTCTGGCACAAGCAAGTAAAGGTGGTCCCAGTGGTGATTGTCACACTGGGTGCAGTGCCTAAAGACCTTGGCCTGCACTTAAACACAATCGGCGCTGACAAAATTATCATCTGCCAGCTGCAGAAGGCCACCTTTACTGGGATCTGTACACATTATTCGCTGATACACCACACAGTCCTAGACACTTGGGAAGTGTCCGACGTGTGATCCACTACAACAGCCAGCAGAATGTCTGCTGTGGACTCATTTTGTTGTGTTTCAAATCATCATCATCATCATCAATTTATAGACCACCCTATCTCCCTGAGGGGACTCGGGGCAATTAACACACAAAAAAGAAACATACAAACATTCAATCTCTGAAGCAAATACAAACACCTTAAGAATAATTTTAAAAATCCCATGTTCTGATGTCATTACAAGCGAACACTGACCTGCCTTCTCAGCCAGTAATGTGGAATATTGTGGAGAAATTGCATTGATAATTATATCAGGATATGAGGAAAATTGCACACAACTCTGCAAACTGGAAAGAACAGAGCACTGTGTTGCCATTTCCTTCAACATCTTGTGCTCTTATTTGACACAAATAATCTAATATACAATCAGAAAATATACATTCAAAATAATGAAATGTCCTGTGCTCTTAAACACATCAAAATTCAGTCTCGTTGTGCCAAACAACGTAAGTGCAAATAGATTAAATACAGGAATTTGAGTTTGTTCCTAGGCATGGAACATGACGTATACATAAGACAAAAGAACAATAAACCTCTACTAATTTCAATGTCATATTCTTGTCATCTTTGTTCTAGTAAATCAGATTCTTGAACATGTATTTCACATGCACATTAGTGCTGCCTGTAAAGCTGTATCCATTCAATTAAATAAGCATTAACGTGAAAGGCTGTCCTAACAATACAAAATGTTGCTACAGTGGTTTGTCATGCTGTAATGCCATTCTATCCCAAACTTTCTGGCAGAGCAGTGTGTCAGATGCTACAGTAATATTCCCCAGATATTTTGGCCTTCAACTCCAAAAAATCCTTATAAATGGTAAACTGGCTGGGATTTCTGGGAGCTGTGGGCCAAAATACCTGAGACCCATAGGTTGAGAACCAGTATTCTAGAGTAAACTTGAAACTTTTTCTGGTTATATTTTCTTGGAATGAATATATATCTGTGATTGTTTATGCACAACATCAAGGACAAATGTGAAGATTTTTACAGAAGAGAACCAAAGATGCATAAATAGGCAGTTTGGTAGATCAAAGGCCTGGCAAACAGATAGATCAATGTTTCTCAACCTTCCTAATGTCGCAACCCCATAATACAGTTCCGCATGTTGTGGTGACCCTCCAAACATAAAATTATTTTCATTGCTATTTCATAAAAGTAATTTTGCTACTATTATGAATCATCATGTAAATATCTGATATGCAGGATAGATTTTCATTCACTGGACCACATTTGGCACAAATACCTGATACACCCAAACTGGAATATTGGTGGGGTTTGGGGGGGGGGGGGAGTTGATTTTTTCATTTGGGAGTTGTAGTTGCTGGGATTTATAGTTAACCTACAATCAAAAAGTCTTCTGTACTCCATCAACAGTGGAATTATTTTATTTATTTATTTATTTATTTATTTATTTATTTACTGCGCTTATATACCGCAATTCTCAGCCCTTCAGGGCGACTCATTGCGGTGTACAACACGAAGAAAACAAGTGCAAGAAAACAAGACATAGTGCAAAACAGTGTACAATTCATCCTAATCATAAAAACATCTTATCAAACAACAACATCACTACAAAATCACTACTACATTCCGAGTCGTCTCATCGTCAAGCCACAATCCGATCTCTTTCCAGTGTTCCATTCCTATGGTCAATTGCCAGTCATTGCACTTATTGGTCAAATTGGTCAATTAAACCAAACTTGGCACACAGAACTCCCGTGACCAACAGAAAATACTGGAAGGGTTTGATGGGCATTGACCTTGAGTTTGGGAGTTGTAGTTCACCTACATCCAAGAGCACTGTGGACTCAAACAGTGATGGATCTGGACAAAACTTGGCATAAATACTCAATATGGCCAAATGCAAACACTGGTGGAGTTTGGGGAAAACCGACCTTGACATTTGGGAGTTGAAGTTGCTGGGATTTATAGTTCACCTACAATTCAAGAGCATTCTGAACCCCACCAATGATAGAATTGGGCCAAACTTCCCACACAGAACCCCTTGACCAGCAGAAAGTACTGTGTTTTCATATGGTCTTTGGCGACCCCTCTGACACCCCTTCACGACCCCTCCAGGGGTCCCGACCCACAGGTTGAGAGACACTGAGATAGACAGACAGATTAGAGATGGGAAAGCAGGATGTTAGGTCTTATTGTCTCTTATCAGTGGTTGTAAAAAATGATTGGAGATCACATTCTTTACTTGTGGTGTAGCTGAAAGATATCCCTCCCATAAAATTAAGTTGTTACAGAGCCACTTTAAGGTTTTCATTCCATATGTTTAATTATGGAGTTCTGTTCAGCTCCGGCAAGAGATTACCTAGATGTCCTTCTTCCATTCTAGGCCCCATAACTGAAGAAGGTATCCCATGAATTGAGAAGAAATGAGAACAGGAAACAGTGCTTATTCAGGAAGCAAAAATCAACAGCACACAAAATAGAGAAGGGAGCTGTTTTCTATGCTGCAAAACCTCATGCAAGAGAGTGTGCAATCCATCAGATTTTATCACTATTTTATATATATATACTTTATTTGTACCCCACCATCTCCCCGAAGGGACACAGGGCGGCTATCATGAGGCCAAGCCCAAATGAATTACAGTGGAGCAAAATACATATAAACAAGACAATAACATCAAATAAAATACTTAATAATAACATAGTAAAATAAAAATAACCAAATCATAATAAAAACAAATGATAAAATGGTAATAGAATTAGACAAAGAGAGTAAGACTCATGACTAAAAATTGGTAGAAATTAATAAAACCCATAGGTGAGATAGGTAAAAGTGCTATGATTTGTGAGGGTGCTCGGACGGGATAACAGTGGAATAAAACTTCAACTGAGAGATTAGGTGAAGGGCATCAGAAAGACAAGTTGGAATTGGGATGGGACATGGCATGGAAATTGGTTGTTCAGCCAGGTTTTTAAACTTTTTCTAAAGGCTGTCAGGATGGGTGCCTGTCTAATTTTTTTCATGCACATTTGATGTGCCACGTCAGAACAAGGCTTTTTCACATGTGAAAAAAGAAACTTTGGAGCAAGAGTACAGAGCAATTTCACCTGTGGGTGTATTGTATCCACACTGAACAATTATTGATAGCACTTCTAACTGCTATACTTTCATTTTATGGGATTGAAGAATTAGTGGTTGGGTAGAAGTTTCAGAATTTCTTACTACAGAAGTGTAGACCATCTCCTGAACTGCAACATTAGCGCTTCCCATAGTAGAAGTTTCTAAGTATCTCTCCAAATTTCAAATCTTCCCTGAATTTCAAGATTCCATAGGATGGATCCATGACTATTAAAGGAGTATCAAAATCCTGTGATTAGTTTGGTTTAACCCCCTCCCCTTTCACATTACTTCTAATTTCGTTTTTTTAATATTTATGTAATATTTGTTTTTAATTGAACATTTAGATGTGTAATTTGGGGAAAACCTCAAAAAACAAATCCTGAATTGACCTAGAAGCTAAGGTATTTCTCTCAAGGAACATGTTAACTTTGCCCCACATACTATTGAAATAGGATATGGAGGGAAATATGAGCCATTTTCAGTCTGGACAAAACACTATACAGAGCATATGTGATATGATGAGTAGGAAGGAAGTACTAAAAGGTGAAAAATTGAAGTTAACCAACATGTAGGGCTAAAAAATGTGCCCAATAGCTAGATACAGCAGGCAATATGCATTTTCTTACTTGAGAAATGTCAAACTTTTTGAAGTGTGTTTTGTGTGTAAATGCTGATAAGGCTCCTCCTCACAATAAGTGACAAAATTCCAGGGAAAAAAATCATTGCAAGTCAGCTACATCCTTCTCATCTTGCAGCAGAGGGATTTTGCATATCTTTTGAGACTTGAGTTTTGAATGTTTCTGTATCATGGAATTTAAACTGTGGGAAATATTGCTTTCATTGCTTGGTTTTAAAAAAAGTTATTCAGCAGCTTCTCTTGTTGTGCTTGCTGGATATGGATATGTAAAGAGGAAGATACTAGATGTTGGGGGTTGGAGGTTCCTCAATAGGCTGTTGTCCTCTGCTAGGATGGACAATCCGAGGTCCTTCCCCCACCCACATCTGTGATATATATACACACACACCAAAAAGAATAGACTCTTAGAAGATTTGCTTCTTGGACTACGGTTCTTGGGTGCATTATTGCATCCCACCAACCTTGTCAGATGGGAATACAACCTGTTCTCTCTTGCTCGCATTGGGTTTTGCTAGCAATACTTCATGTAACATAAAAGCTTCTATTTCGATCAACCATCCTTTCAGGTAGAAAAATCAAGCCTTTAAAAACTTGACCCGACGTGTCTCATTTAATGCAGCATCAACATTCTTAGCTGTAGGATGTTCAGTGAAAGGAGCTTTGAGGACTGTTGTCAGGACAACGTGCTCAGTTACGATGTTGTCTATAGATGAGGAGTCATGATTCCCCATGTCAACATACCCCAGCAATTTTCCTCAGCTGAATCTGAACACTGTGTTCAGGTACCTTCAGTCTGTAGGACCATGGGCAATATCTGTTTGCGATGTGTAGAGCTTTCTTTGCTTTCAGTGAAAAGGTAAACCCCTTTAGGCATTACAGAAAAACCTTCAGTCACTCTTAAAATCACAATTTATATCACATAATTGGTCATCAGTGGCGCAATGGGTTAAATCCTTGTGCCAGCTGAAGCGCTGACCAAAAGGTCAGCGATTCAAATCTGGGAAGTGGTGTGAGCTCCCATCTGTCAGCTCCAGCTTCCCATGTGGGGACATGAGAGAAGTCTCCCACAGGATGGTAAAACATCTGGGCGTCCCCTGGGCAACGTCTTTGTAGACAGCCAATACCCTCACACCAGAAGCAAATTGCAGCTTCTCAAAAAAAAAAAAACACCAAATAAACAGACAAACCCCGGCCTATCATGTTTATATAGTTATCACTGTACTTTTTGATTCTGCTTACATGTGCATTAAGGAGCGCTCATTGCCCATACCTTAGCCACCACTCTCTGTGCCTCTTCCTTGCAATCTTATTTCCAAGCTGTAGCCGGTTTCCTGCTATTAAGAACATTTAGTTTCCTACTCCAGTCAAGCAGATAATCCCTATTTAATATGGGCTTATTTCACAGCAGGGTGCTAATATCCCATTATGTCATGTTCTTTAAGTGTAAAATGCCAAGAAAGCAGGGGTGGGGGTGGGGCTGAGACGAACACAGAAATGCAATGCTGGAGGAAGAAATTAATCAGTCCTAGTGAATGAATGGCCAACTGAACAGATGTCCCTGCTGCAGCTGTCCCAGGAAATGTGTGTGACTCTTAAGATCAACACAACCTGTCAGCAGCAGCATGTTGTACAAAACCAACTGCCAATAATGTGAGTTACCACTTCATCACACTGACACTTTTAAGCACCCTAACATGCTGCCAGGATGCTTCCTTGTTGGAGCTCGCTGGACACCTTCGGAAGGGACTTCAAAGAGGAAGCATCCTGGCAATGTTCTAGAATGCTTCCATGATAATACTGGAAGATTCCCGTGTTCTCATTAAGAAATAGTGTGTGTGTGTGGGGGGGGGGGGGGGAGAGAAGCCAAGTGACAATGCTTCCCCGCATGGAATAAGGTAAGAGACACAACAGGTGATGCAATCCACATGTACGGTAAAGATCTGGTTGATTGTATAGAGCAGTGATTCCCAACCTGTGGCCTGCGGCCCAACAATGGGCCACGAGAACAAAAATCGAGTCTGTGAACCTCTTTCCTCTTAATTATTTTATTTTATTAATTTTATTTCTGATCCTTTCTGCAGAGCTGACCATTGCATTGGATAGACCACATCAGCTCTAGATTATTAAATATGCTTTTCTGTGGGCAAGCAGATGATGACTACTGGAGGGCATATGTTCTGTATCAGAAACTAGAGTCTGGTCTATCCAATGCAATTTTCTGAATCAGCACCCCAAATAACCAAACCAAGTTGACCAAAAACTGATTTGCAACCCTTTTGATACTAATGTTGGAGAGTGGGCCTAGGTCAAGTGGGCTCTGGTCAAAAAAAGGTCAGGAACCACTGGTATAAAGTGAGAAGCAATTCTCAGATAGAAGGATTGTGTCTACAGGTTAAAGATAGCATATGATTTGCAAAGAGGAGACATTGCTTAGAGTGTGATTTCCCCCTTCCCTGCTCCCCATATTGTGCATTACCTGGCTCAATGTCGAGCGAATAGCTGTCGATTTCGAGGTTAAGACGCTGAGCTGCTGCATCGCAAAAGTCCTCCAACACACAATGGACAGCCTCCGTGATGTTGTACGGCACTGACTTGGCAAACTTCATTTTACTGTTGACAATTACGCTTCCATTGCGGAAACTTAATATTTCCAGTTGTTTAAATCCTGTAAGGTTGGACTGTAGGTAAGGAAGCAACTGCAAAAAAATAAAAATAGTAGGCAATTTTATTGCAAGTTCCTTCCTCCGTGTCATTAATTCCACTTATAGACACTTTCCATTTTGGGGAATATAAATCCTCTACTCGGTTTCAGTGATGTAATTAACCAGTTTTACCTTTGCAACCGGGTTAAGTTTCTCAGTTAAGGATTCATCAGCAACCTCACTAGAAAGATGTTTTAAAATAATGTATTACGATGGACTAGGGCAGTTTTCATTCTAATTCAGTTAATGGGATGCAATCCATTTAAAAAGAAATCAGTGGGACTGAAATATCCCTAAAACTGAATTACAGTGGTAGATGAAGCTTTCTTAAAGTTCCATGTGGGTTTTGCTCACTGTTGATTATGTAGAAGAAAGAAAGATCCATAGAAATTTATCCAATTCCATCAAAAAAGGCTGGAATCATGTATGGCTCAGTGTAATATCTGCATGCCAAATACTACTCCTGACCTACTGAACAGCCTCTGAACTCTCTCCTACCCTTCATTCCCCAGCACTGGCCATTTCCTGCTTCATGGGAAATGGATAAGGTTGCAGATTAATCTGGTTATATCACTCTATAAAATGATTACAACAAGTTGATCTTGCATTTCAACATGTGAGATACTTCTGTGATTGTGCCCACACACCAAGAAAAAAGAAATCTTCAGGGTGGGGAGGCTTCAGAGGCTGTTAAATAGGGGAAGCAGTCTCTGCAGAAAGAAGAAGGGAATGCCAAATTTCCCCACAGTACCCCAAAAAGGTATTAAAGCAGAAACAAGGATCTTTGCTATGAATAAAACACAGAACACAGTGTTGGAGTTTACATATTCTGTGGCCCTAAAACAGAAAATAAATGGGGCATTGGTGTTGAGGTACCTTGAGGTACCCTAACCCTAACCCTAACCCTCTTCCTGCCAAAACAAACAAACAAACAAAACAGATGGATTTTGCTTATGTGATGGAATTCTAAATTTGAAAGCATTCTGTTTTGGAGCAATTCCAGACATAATAATAAGTTGACAAAGCAGGCAGCGTAGGCCTACTAGGCCTTCCTCCTTCAGGGCCCAAGGAAGGGACCTCATAACTTAACTACCATAGGAACTCTTTTGTCCTAAATCCAGCACTGCTTTTTAGATGCTGTTGGTCTTCAGCTCCCATCAGTCTTTGCTAGCATGGCTGATGTCTGTTCTAGTGCAGCAATATCTGGAAGGCTACATGTTCCTCACCCCTGCTGATTTGATGTTTGGTTTGTGTTTACATATTTAAACCTAGTCATTGGCAAGACTGAAATATCTTACCAGCTGCATGAACTGCTGTTCAAGTGATTTGTATTCTGCAGAGCTCCGGTTGAAGAGGTCATCAGAGAAGTGCATGTTGGTGACTCTTAGGCTGAAGAACACCACTAACTCTTTGCCTTTGGCTGCTGTTGTCATGGCGCTTGTAGTCACATATTTCAGTGGAGGAGCTGGGGTCACATCTGGGGTTTCTGGCAGGGCAAAGTAACCACTCCCTTCCTCCTCCAATGTTGCTGGGCTCAGTAGGTCAATTGCACCCAGTTCAGTGGCAATGCCCATTTCGAATCCGCTGTCGGTTGGTGCTACCCATGCAGAATCCGTTGCTTCCAAAGACAGGTCAATGACAGCTGAGGGTTCGCTTGTAGTGACTGCTGGCACCAAAATGATTGGTTCTGTTGGGCCGAAAACATCTTCTTCAGAAACAGAGGGAAGACCTGGGGAACCAATGAAGTAGGGCAGCGTACTCAGTGCGGGTAACAGGTCATCACCTGAAGATTCTGGCTGGCCTGCAATCTTTACATCTGGAGAAAGAAAGTTAATGCTCAACAACATCCAGCTTTTAATAAGTTTACTCTTTACCGACCTGGGATGAGAATGTTTTTGATAATGGTAAAGGATGAGAAAGGGTTGCAGAAAAACCAGGAAAAACCAGTGACTGGCCTGTTAACCGGTTCTGAATAGTGTCAGTATGAATTATTTCTCTTTCTTTACTCATTCTTTTTGAGTATGACCCTCATATCCCCAGTACCAGAATTTCCAATTTTGGTTCTCCTTCTGCCCTCTCCATGTACAGAATTCTTCCCTCCACCTCAACATTTGACTAATTAAAATATAATGCAAATTATTTAAATGGCAATACAATCCAAACAAGCAGATAAAAAGCAAATGCAGTAGCAGCTTATATGAATTTCAGTTAACACCAAAAGCAGCAACTAAAGTTGTCAATGTCCACTCCTGACCCATTGTGCTAAGTGCAACAGAACATCTCTCTCAGTCAATTACCCATAAAACAGTGGATAGTAAGATGGGCACCAATTCCTAGATATGACGTTCCATAGTGGAAGAATTATTCCACCACAGTGAATTCCTTCTCTCCACTACTTCCATTAGAAAAGCTATTTGTAATGGGGCATCCAAGGAATATCTTAATATGTGGACAGTCACTGATTTTGGTGTCACTCAACCTATAAAGCTGCCATATTTTTGTGGTGCCTAGTAGAGAAAGTTATGCATATGTATGATGGAGAGCCGGATAATAAATAAAATTGTTGTTGTTGTTGTTAAAGTATTTATATACTTTAACAAAGTATTTATATACTTTAGCTGTATACCTGTATGTAACATGCATGTGTAGCTGTATGCCCCATATGGCTAGAGTCCAGTTTCCTATATAAATATGTGGAAAGTAGTGTGACAAAAGGCACAAAATCATAGTATCAACAGGTGTTATCTTTCTTGCCACTCCATAGAACACACAAAACTGATATCTTAGTAGTCATTAAGCTCTCATTCCAGAGCTGATATTCCTTCTATAGCAATCATCCTCTTGAACTAGCACTAATAATAACTCTAAATAATCATTTTGCCTATCTGATACTTTCATCAGGGTCACTGCTGTCCAAGTAGATGTCATGACATTTCCTTCTAAACATGCCAACAACATTGTGCAATGTCCAGAGAGACAGAGTGGCTTGTCTCGGAGAATCTGAAGCTCCCTGTTTTGAAAGAAATGTAATGATGTTAATATTAACAAAGGAATTCAGCAGCATAGCATTCAAAACAAGGGCTGTTAATAGTTTCTGTGAGAATAATTCACCCAAGGAAGGTTATGTCCTTATAATTCCTATGAACATTTATTACTTGTAATGTATTACCATTACACATTTCCTAAGTAATTGATCTGAAAAAGTGTCACATTTATTAATGGCAATTAGCAGCAAATTAGATTACAATGCTGTGCCTTTGATTTGAGCTTCACAAAGATAAAGCTGTATACCACCTAGTGTTTTCAACAATAATTTGTTAATTCTCTCTTCATAGACTTCTGCTATTTTACTAATATATTGATGCCATATTCCTGTGAAAGTTTGCCAATACAACAATGATTGAAAACTACATGGTTAGAAGACACTGCTAAGATCATTGGAAATATTCAATAAACCAATGTTTATATTTGAGATTAAGTAGCCCTGACTAATAACTGCAATAAATGGACATAGAATAATACACATTTTGTTTAAAGAGTATGAGTTGTATTCAGTGATGGACTTGCAGAAAAGCAGAATCCAACATAAAGGGCAATGGGATGAAGTGGGGAGACAATATGTTCTCCCTGCTTTTACCCAGAACACCCTGAACACCTGGTCTAGATGGTTGGAAAAACCTCTGGAGAAAATATTCTGTGCTAGAGCTGTTATTTTAAGTTCTGTAAGCTGGATAACATGCATTCTCTGAACAGATTCTGGTCTAATTTGATACACTGTTTCTATAGCCCAACGGGATGCACCATACTCATGCTCTGTGGTTGGAATTCTGTTGGGTAAAATTAAAACATGAACGCTCATATTCCTCATTTTGGATGGAGCACAATGTGCTGTTCTGTAGCTCTTTGTGCATCATCCAAAAGCCTTTCACTGCACATCTGTCAGGCTTTGGGAAGGGCTCCTCCTCCTCCTGATGCTTACTGTGATGTGGAGGAGGGAGAGCGGGAGGTGGCAGTTCAGATGAGGATAATGTAGCTGCTCTGGGCTCAGAAGAAAGGGAAGAGGAGAGTGCACTACAACTGTAAGAATAGACCCATTTCCTTACCCATCTGAACTGAGATAAATCAATTCTTTATCTCCTGACATGTCTCCCTGCTCTTCCCTACCCCACCAATAAATAGAGGCAATAACAGCAGCCCCTCCTAGATCTGGGGAGGGGGAAGTTTTCGGCCAGGCTAAAAAAAAAAAAAAAAGCAGTGGTTTCCAAACTCTGGTCCGCCAAGTGTTTTAGCTCCTGCACTGTTTCAGCCAATGATCAGAAATTATAGGAGTTGAAGTCCAAAACACCTAGCAGACCAGAACTTGGGAAACACTGGGCTAGAGGACAGCCCTTGCACCCCATTAAAGAAAAGGAGACATGCACATAGGCAGTGGACATGGAACTACATGGGCAGCGATCTGCTTGATTTTGGCCTGTTTTTGTCATCGTTTCCCCCATATGTTAGCAACTTGTTCTCTTTATTCATTCAGTTGCTTCTGAGTCTTCATGACCTCATGGACCAGCCCACGCCAGAGCTTCCTGTTGGCCATGGTCATTCCCAGTTCCTTCAAAGTCAAGCCAGTCACTTCAAGGTCTGCCCCTCTTCCCTTTTCCTTCCATTGTTCTAGTACTGTGATGCTATCAATTTGCTAAAATATTGATTACTTTACACTCATCACTACTATACAATCACTCATTGCCCTGAATACTATTTGACTTATCTAGATTAGCATATGTGACTCACCGTTTTGCAATTGACTCAATGAGTCTGCTTGAGTTATAGCTATCAATAAGATTCAGGTTATCAACAACATTTTTTTCTTCAATGATTACTTAGCTAAGACTTGCTCACTACATCATTTCAAACTTGTTTGTCTCTCATGAAAATGTAGATCTCTTGGAGCCCTGCCATAAGCTGTAGCTATGACAGGGCTTCTTCACACTTAACAACATTATTTGGTCCTATCCCACCAAACCCATCTCAGAAGCCAAACCAAACAAAGCAGTTCTGAGGTCCTGGAGAACAGGGCAGAGAAGGATGAGCCATCTAGCTCTTTGCTAGCGTCAAAGTGTAGTATGAAAAGCAGTTGAAATAGAGCCTGCAGGGTTAATTCCATAACATCATTGTGTGTACTTCTGCAGACTTGTCTACATGGTAATTCTACATTTAACAATTCTCCAAAGAAGATGTTTCCTTTGATCTTTGTTCAGAAATCATTTATCTACAATTTGCATCCCCTGGTAAGATTTTTTCCTTATATCCCCATAGAATGAAAACTCTAATTCAATTTGCTATTTTCTATTTCCTTGAGGGCCTCGTGTAATTTTAAATATGTATCTACAGAGGCATTCCTTCACATTTGTTGACCCCTTTCCCCAACTTCATCCTTTCCCTAAAGAGTCTCCTTAATAAGCTTTTGGATATTTTTATCTGTAACCATGGCTATTGTTTCTTACAGTCACTGTAAATGTTCAAGTACTCCCAGTAGGAGTCGTGTTTCATTTCACTGGTACTTTTGAAGTTAGTACCCTTTTAAGATAAAGTCAAAAGAAAAGCTAGACAAGCAAATTAAACTTTTAACATACAGATTTCAGCAGGTTGGTGGTTGATTTCAAAAAGTAGATTTTCTATATGCACAAATACTTTGTTGTACTAAATCAAAAGATGGAATGCTAAGCATAAAGTGGCCCTTGGCTATATCTTTGCATATGAAGTGGTTCCTGGACTGGAATCAGTAGCTGTCATTTACTATGTCATGACTATGATGATTTGAGTGCAAGAATTCCAAGAGACCAGGTTCAAATCTTTGCTCAGCCATGGAAACCCACTGGATGACCTTGGGCGAGTCTCATCTTCTCAATCAGGCAATGCCAAATTACTCTGAAGAAGTTTCACCAAGAAAACCCTCTTATAGGTTTGTAAAGTTGAATTGAAGGCATATAAGAATATGTCATATGGACTGATCTATAAGTCTACCTTTATTCAGTAACAAAATTGTCTATACATCCTGCTGAATCTTCACACTTCCACTACTGAAACTATTGCCTTTCAAATACCACTTTTCTTCTGGTGTGATAATAAACCCTGTCTTGACAGGTTCTTCTACTTCTTCATGCTACTAAGAATTTCCATTCCAATGCTTCATCTGTAGCGTGTAACACATATCTAATTCCTGCCTCCCTAATTTCCAACAATTTTCTAGATTTATATTTCCCACTTGCAAACGTTGGTTCTGAACACATCATAAAAACATACATATACATCACATCGTAACCCTGGCAGTAAACGACGATTTTAGAAGTTTTTTTTATATTCTGATGGACAGTCATTCTGCAAACTAAGCAAGACAAATGCAAGAAGTTTGGGTAATGAGTACTGTTCTAAAGATATGTAGGCCTGATGCCCAATAGATTGGGAAAGTCCTACACACAGCATATATGTTCTGAAGTACAATTTGCCAAGCAATCTGACCAGCTACAGAAATAAACTATAGGAGAGAGGTGAGAATTGTGCAGCTTTGCAGATGTTGAACTGAAGCTCTGTTCACAGAGCACACAGGCTAAGTCAGTGGTTCTCAACCTGGGGTCCCCAGATGTTTTTGGCCTTCAACTCCCAGAAATCCTAACAGCTGGTAAACTGGCTGGGATTTCTGGGAGTTGTAGGCCAAAACACCTGGGAACCCACAGGTTGAGAACCACTGGGCTAAGTAGTTTGCTTAGAACTTTTGGGTGTTACAGTCCAACAACATCATGGGTACCATATCTACCTCTGGTATTT